GCGAGTCTTTGGCAAAATTTGATGCACACTCTTTGTTCATGAAAATCTGCAATCGCAGGAGGGTCGGTGTAATGCACTACCAAAACGCCCATAACTAAGAAACAAATGCTAATTCGATGATGCCGGCTGGCACACTGATTCACTATGAATGTAGGCCGAACCCCTTAGCGGCAGAAGCTCGTACTACAGCCAGTTCGCCCTCTATTGACACAGTCTGGAAACTTTCTGATCACACCTTGTAGCATTGTTTGACACTAACCTGAAGAAACCCTTAAATGGAAAAGCTTTAACACACATAATTGGACTGGTAAATGCAGAAACTGAAGAACATTAAACAGGAACTTCACTGTATTCCTGTATTTACACATACTTTGCTGGAGATAGCACAATGTGGAAACTGCTGACAGGTAACATAATCAATACTACAGCCTCAAATGTTTCGCACTAGGAAAATCACACACAAAAAGTCACCATTTCATACTATACAAAATGAAGGATGCAGACATACGAATGATACAAAATGGAAATTACAAAACATTTTTCATTTCATGAAATAAGTTAAAACAAATCATAGAATGTTGAAATAAATGCCATATGGCCTTTGAAGTAGTGAGTTTTAGCTGCAGGATACACACATTAAAAAATAGGCTGCATCTCATTTTAACTGTCATGTCCTTTAAGAAGCTTATAATGGCGTATTTGATCAAAGAAAAGTATCTGTTCTTTATGGAACCCAAAGATAACCATGTTCACAAGAACAAGCTACTGTACCCTGTCCTAAGCCAGCTGAAATGATTCCACACTATAACATTCTGTGCCTCTAATTTATTTTGCACTTCCCATATATCCCATGTGTACTACAATCCAACATAGCTACAATATTACATCCCTTAAAGTAATGATGTTCACAAATACAAAAGAGTTTTGTTCCAAACATTACACACAGATTTCCAGAATAACTCTAAACACCTTATGTATATAATTTCTGTCTACAAACCAAACCGCTTGTATTTATTATTTGGAGGTACTACAGGGGTACATTGCATTAACTGGTTCCATGGATGTAAGCTCTGTCATCACTGAAATGTTTCATATTATTAAAAACTTTGTTCCTTATTTTATGAAACATGCTGGAAGTTCCAATTTTCTCTATTCATTTATGTACATTCATATAATTTGTATCACAAAAACATAAGAATATATATTTATTACATTAATATAAGTACTGTAAGGATAGAATTTAAAGCATATATGCTTTGTACAGTGTATAGTAAGTTCATTCATATGCTGCAATGAGCACCATCATGTACACACCAAACAACAAAGCTATAATTTCTTTAACAGACTGCCAGAATTTGGTGTCTGCTAAAAGCTCAGGAATCACAGATACTGTGGCAATGTAGATAAATCCTCCTGCAGTGAAAGGTAGAATCCATGTAGTTGCTACTTCACCTAGAATAAACAAAGCAGTATTTGACTTTAAATTACCTTTCATCAGCTCTGTGCAAGAGCTATGAGTTTAATCAGTAGATATATGTATTGAAAGAGTGCCAAGAAATATGGACATTAAAGAAAGTAGAGAGTGAAAGGGATTTTATAATGCATACATTGCATACAAATTTAAAATATCTAGTTCAAAGAATATGTGCATTGGGACATAATACTGTAATGTTTTTATTAACGTTCTGCTACACACCTATGCAGGCACTTGGGGGAGTGGAGGTATACCTCCTACTCTGTTTTGACCTAAGCAATAGATAGCGGTGTGTGGTCAGCATGATGCCGTAGCCACGCAATACTGTAATGTACCCTAGAAAAATTACATGAGGATGTCGGGTTGACTGAAATACCTCAGGACAGGGCTTAATATAGAGGTGGTGTTGAAAATGTAGCTTCCACAAAAAACAATCACATTTCACCCACACACAAGTGATTTTATGAGGATGGCAACTGAATAGAAATCATTCAAGATAGGCTCTCTGAATATGATGAACTACAATTCTAATGCTGACCTATGGCTGCTTTGAAACACCCTTAATGTATCTTATGGTATGCCACTTACCTTCCACCAGCAGAGAGACAGCTGTCCCAGTGAGAGCCCCTACTGCAGTACTGAGTTGTAGAAAAATGGCCTGAAATTTTTAAAGACGATTAGCTGAAATGTGTAGACAACTTCATGTTGATATTTTATACATCCCATTACTTTTTGTTAAGAAGCACTATTCATTACGTCTGGCCAGATTTGTTTCAATATGTTTGTTGCTCAGAATTTTAGAAACAGTATCCCCAGCACACCCATACTCTGGTGACAGAACATGTAGATCTTCTTAATGATGTGATGCATAATCCTTTGCCTCATGTACATGCATTTCCCCTTTCTATCTCTTCTCTTGTTGCAACTTGATAGAGAAACTGCTTTAGAGAGTCAACAGTAAATGCTTTTCAGTGTCAGCTCTTGTTCTTCATAGTTGAGTGAAATTTGGAACTAGCATTATAATGACCAAATGTAGGCTTAGTTATGCACTCTGCATTAGTATTGGAAGGGTGATACTGAGATATATTAAGTTATGTGATGTAAGTGGGAGAACATATTGTTCTTCACCTTCAGGATCTAGGTTTACTTGACAAAAGGTATGTGTGTCTGGTTTGTGAAGATATAGATGTTTGTAGTACATTTGGATGAGTGACATTTAAATGCAGGTCCATTTATGACAAGGAAGGCAACTGTAGCATTTGTTGGTGCATGAGCAAGGAAAAATTATTCCAGAGATGTAAACCAACCTTTGGGAAAGTCACTCTTTTGTCATGCTTATGGATACACTAGTTTTAAAGCCATTGTTATCAGCATGCATGGTTGTCAGTAGGTACAGCTTTATTGGGAGAGGAGAAGTGTGTGAAATCCTTCAACATCCAATCTCCAACTCAGGTAGTTGTCCATGGACACTTGAAAACTGATGAATAAATTATAAGAGTTCAAGAATATTCCAGTGATGTACATTTCATTAATTATTCCTTCATAACGTATATAGATTAGCACATTGATTTTATGAAACAGTATATTACAAAAGTTAAGATTTTGATCATATTTGCCTGCACAGACTTTGTACACATACAGTCAACCCCAACAAAAAAGCTGGCCTGAAATAACTTCAACCCAAACAGAAATTTCTAACTGCAGAGTCTGTGAAATTAAATCTTTGTCTTTGCTTCAGTATACCTTTCTCCTGTTGCAGCCAGACTGTATCAGTATTGCAAAATCACCAATTTCATGAGGCACTTCATGTAATAAGATAGTGATTGTTGTGATTATCCCGATATTCTTGCCAGCGAGATATGATGCACCTATGGCCAGACCATCAGTGAAGTTGTGCGTGAAGTCAGCAGCAAGATTCAGGTAACCAGACACCTTAATTTCTTCCTCTGTGGAAAAGAGAATAACAGGACTTTGTAATAGGACACCAAGTTTTCAGTGCTCATGCCAGACACACACACATATTGGTTAAGTTTAGAATAACAGTTGCAAACCCTTGATCATTGGAAGAATGGAGAGAAAATGGCATGATAAAATAGTAAAATCAAGATTCATCATAGCAGATAAAAGTAAAGTTATCCCACTATATGCCTTGTATAGCTCCTACTTATTCTTGACCTCAGTACTAGATGGGGGTGAGTGGTCAGCATCACGTCCTGGCCATGCTTTAACCCCGGAAAGGACCCCAGTACCAATTGGATAGGAGGCTGGGTGGTCCCCAGAACCAGTCTGGATGCAGAAACTAGAGGAAAAATCCTCTGCCCCCATCAGGGATTTAACTGTGGTCATCCAGTCTGTAGCCAGTCACTATACTGACTGAGCTACACCAGCTCTCATCATAGCAGATAGTCTTTAAAATTGAGACCACTAACAGTGAATGAATTGTTTTCTGGGTTGTAACATTGTGCTCTTGTAGGTTGTTTTTCAGTCATCTTTACAAATGTTAGATTTCAAATATCTATAATCTTCTTGGCTGTCACTTTCATCATTCATTTCTAAAATTTTGTAAATGCATAGTTTTCTGTAAATTGTAGTACATAATACAAACATTTAGATAATTTAAATTAAAAGTATGAAGGATAATGTGAACATTATATTTATACATGCAACTGTGCAGTATGTGATTTGGTGTAACATCATGTTGATTATGATTACTGATAAACACAGAACGAACATTTTGACATTCCAAGTCCACTGTGTTAATTCTGATATGAAGTTTATCTAGTATGTATCAGTCAAGTATATATGAAAGTAACTTAATCTCAGCACCTCATACCTTGATTTACTGTTGAGTTATCAGTGCCTTGTGTTACTTCCTTTTTCTTCCTCTCATTAACCTCACTTTCTTGTTCATCATCACTTTTCTTGCTTGACAAGCTTTCTTTTTTGGCTGACTCAGTTTCCTTTATGTCATGGTCATCATGCTGTGATGGCAAACCATGTGAGTGAGCACTGTGTGAATGACCACCCTTAACCAGTCTCACAAATTTCTCCACCATCAAAAATGCTATGATTCCAAAGAGAACCCAGAAACCAACTACCATATCATGCCCATGAGATTCACCCTCTCCATTTTCACCATGAGAGTGGGAGTGTGTTTTGGCATGTGTGTGAGGGGAGGAATGCTCAGACTCCTGTGAATGTGCTACCAATGCATGTGGAATCAAATGAAGAAATGCATCACCCAATAAACTGCCAGATGCAAAACTAAGAAGTATTTTCAGCAGTGGCTCCTTTTCTTTAGTATTGTCCAATGGCACTAAAAACAAAATAAAAAATGGGGCTGCACTGATAAGTACTGTAGATCCAATTGCTTGGGTCCACAAGGTAAACGTGTCCTTAACTTCTTTCCCACTACTAGCATGGCCTCTCTCATATTTTTGTGGTGGATCTGTGTTGGCTTCTTTGGAGTATTTAAATGATGGCGATTCGTAATGATCGTGTGAATGGCCATGGTGGTCAGATCCATGCCTATGATCATTATGACTCTGACTTTCACATAACAGAGGTAAATCTAAGAAAATCAATATTAATAGTATTCCTAAAACAACAGTTGCAATAAATGATTTAGAACTGACTGGTTCCATCGTCATTGCTGTCTGCCTATGGCAAATTATATGAATCGCATTCACATAAACTGTTAAATCACACACACTGTACTCAAACCTGAACAATTATACAGATTATACCGGTATGCCTTATGCTCTAGCAATACCTGACAGTATGTGATGTAACGTGTCTAGACTCGTCAACACGGATTACTACTTCCTCCAGTTAGATTCACAAATGCCTACATGCCTGCGTTCATACATGACTCAGTGTAATGAGTAGGTTATTATGACGACCGAAACATAATATTTTGATTGTAGTGTGCGTTATTTAAAATTTATTACAAACATTGTCAATTGAAAATTCTTATTGCTTGATTTTACACAGTTATACATTAAATCCAGCTCTTAATTTGTAACTAAGAGAAATAAGTTTTGAAGCGTTGGTATTTGAGCTATGATAAATAAGGCTTGTAATGTTGCACATTCTGGTTATCGTGGGAGAGAATTTATAACTAACTGTTGGCCAATCACATTGATATTCTGCTAAACCGTGATTTGAATGGATTTTTGAATTTCCCAGTGTCTGTTATACATCTTTCTTATGAAGTTGTTTTCAGGGTGTGCAGTACGTGCCATTGATCTTTAATTTTTTGGATTACTGATACTTGTGTTTAGATTACATCGTGTGCTTAGTTTGATCAGAATATGATCGTTAAATGTTGAGACAAAAGTTAACTTGTTCTGGATAATATGTAAGTTGCGTCGTTTAGCTTTCATATATTGTAAAAGTACTGTATATAATAAGGAAGATATATGTCCATGTGTATCAATTCAGTAGTTGTTTTTCTACATGTATTGCCATTTTATGATGATGTACAGGTTGAAACGTGTGGAGCTAGTGGAAAATACCTTCGAATATCCAAACATTGTGTTACCAGCCCTTCATTTAATATAAGTAAGGAGCTTAGAACATAGTAGAATAAACTGGCATTTATTTATACTTTCTGGATTTGTCATAGCTCAAACTAAGAATGTGGAACACAATATGAATACCTACACTTGATACAAATACAACACAGTTTTGAGATTCAGAGTCATGCCAATTAAAGTATGTTCTCATGTAAGCTGAAAAAGAATGAAGGGTGGTTTCAATTTTCAGGAGGGAAATGTACTTCTGAGCTTTTTATTGTATTTAATTTTTGTCTATTACAGATGATTAAACATTTAACACAATGAAAAGGTCTTTGCCTATATTTTCACAGATTGGAAATTCTGAGTTTACAAAGTAAGTTTACATGGATTTTTTTCTTACATATATCTAGTGTGTATTTTAGGGTTGTATATAATTGTACTTTCATTTCATTGTTTGTATGGATTATGCTGAATTTTTCTGTTTCTAGTGAATGTGGTACTCCAAATTGTGAAACATCCAGTATGACTGAGAAAAGCAATGTGAACAGGGGTAGCTTCAGCAATCAGAATGTCAGTGATTCTCCTATACATTTATCTTCAGATGGAGAGGGGTTCATAATCCACCAGCCACAAATTCCCATTTCTCGTGGTGGCACATTAATCCGATCCCAATCAATACCCTCTCTAAAATGTGGGAATGAAGATTTGCAAGGTGGGACTAAATTATCATTAGGTAGATCTGTAGGACCAGGGGACCAAACTCCTGTCACTCATTTATGTACATCACGTCAGAGTGGCAGTGGACAAATCCCATCAGGTGACCACTCTAAAACAAAACTCCCGTCTCAGAAACGGCTGTCTGATCATCATCATGGAACACGTTTAAAACGTTTCTTCAGTGAAGCAAATCTCCAAAAGGTATCAGCTACACCAGACTGCTTCAGTAAAGTTCACATGGAAACTCCAAGGAATAAGGTTGAGTCAGAAGATCTCCCAGTATTTCCAAGTGATGAAACTAGTCATCTCACAGTTGGTGTACGTGTAAGACCATTTAATATGCGAGAGCAGAATGACTTTGCTGTGGTAAATGTTGTAAGTGTGGATGGGAGCAAAATTAAGATGATGAGTGAATCTGGAACAACATATACCTTCATTTATGATTACTGCTTTTGGTCTTGTGATCCAGAGCACCCTCAATTTGCAAGTCAGGATGTGATCTTTAATACACTGGTCCAGCCACTTATAGACAAGGCCTTCCAAGGGTACAATGCTTGTCTGTTTGCATATGGCCAAACTGGCTCTGGAAAAAGTTACAGGTTTGTTCATTTTATAGACAGTTCATAATCTGTCTTTTAACAGTTGTGTTATTATTTGACAGTGGATCTTTCATAAGATCCATTGGTTTGTTGTTAATTTATGGTGTAAGTTGAAATTCTTCATTCCTTTCTTATGTTCTTATGTAGAAAATCTAGTGGAATTTTGTTATCTTTCACTTTGTGCATTTTCTATAAAGGTCAGTTATAGTGTATCTCTATCTTAAGATATATTATTAGGTAGAATTTACCTTAGGCATTTTTTTAATATGTAGTGTTGTACATATATGATACACATGCTAAACATCTGAATTCATGTAATGCATCTATTTTTGGCATGACCATATATACATAATCAGGTGACATCACCATTTAGGTTACTCATGGCAGTAAAGTGAAGTACTAAACTGGAGGAGACCCAATATGGAGAGAGGAGGGAATTAACACTTACAGTCCAGCGACCTCATAACTGGGGAAAAATCATTACTCAAGGGCTCTTTCCTTCAACCTGGCCTTCGGTGATATCACTCAGTAATCCATTTCTTCTCATAATATGTCCCAGCCAGTTGTTAGCTTTCCTTCGTGTAATCGCCTGCAGAATGTTTCTTTGCTCGTTGACTCTCCTCAATACTTCTTCGTTGGTCACTCGATCCGTCCACCTGATCTTCTCTATTCTTCTCCAACACCACATTTCAAAACTCTCCAGGTATTTCTGTTCCTTCTTCCTGAGTGTCCAAGTCTCTGCTCCATACAGCGCGACACTCCATACGTAACACTTCACTAGTTTCTTCTTCATCTCCAAGCCCAACTTGCTAGTGAGAAGTGTCCTCTTCTTGACGACAGCTGCCTTGGCCATGGCTATTCTTCCTTTTACCTCCTTGGTGCATAGAGCATCCGTCGTGATTATACTTCCCAAGTACTTGAAGTGCTCCACATTCTCCAGCTGTTGGTTTCCAACTACAACGTTCAATGGTTCTGCTCTCGGTGCTATCCTCATTACCTTTGATTTTTCAGTGTTGATTTCCATTCCATACTCTCTACCTGTTTCCACTAACTTGTCCATCATGTTCTGTAATTCCTCCTCTTCCTTCGCCAATACTACTAAGTCGTCTGCATATTTTACAAAACTGCTTTATTATGTATGTTCATTATAAGGGCATCCATTACAATTCTGATTGATACAGTTGTTCCAGATTGTTAGCTTTCCTGTTATACATATTACTGATTCAAACATTGAATCTATACCTTATACTCAAGTAACTAAGTAATTCCTTTAATAGACCTATTCTTCTATTTAGCACTGTTTCCATTTGATGCAGGTTGATGGGGAACCCTGTTTGCTTACAGAAACAATATATTCAGGTTCATCATGAAACCTGTTGTGACCATTTTGCCTTGTCTGCTCTGAGGAACCTTAGGGTTGAAGATTTCTGTCTTCTGGGTTGTTGCGCTGTGTAGTCTGGTCGATGTTAACCAAAGTTTCAGAGGTCATAGTGCCTCCGTCATCAGGGTGATGAATATCATTGCTCTGATGACGGAGGCAGTATGACCTCTGAAACATTGGTTAACATCGACCAGACTACATAGCGCAACAACCCAGAAATCTTCATACTCACCGCTGTGAAAACCTCAAATCTTATAACCTTAGGGTTCTTCAAAATATTGTTAGGGATTCTGTGAGATATTGTGGAATAAATAAATAAACATTTTGAAGTACTGCAGAATTTCCAAATATCCCTCAAAATATTGCAGGAATAGGTTCTGGATTTTAATAAAAGAGGATCCTGTGATCTCAGCAAAAGCAGTGAACTTCTTACTTTAGTTTTCAACTTATTACCTCTATGAACAAGCTTTCTCACATTTGACAGACATTAAATGCAAAGAAAGAAATCATCTGCTGTCTGTCAAGGAAGAACTGAATGTGTGTTTGTCAAAGATTTGGCCAATATTTTAGCATTTGTACAAAAATAAATAAAGCCCAAGTGTCACACTGAAAGTAAACCTTATATCGATTTTGGATGTGAACTTTATTTTCATATTTGAAAAGGAAAAAAACAGGAAGAATGCTTCAGTTTTCCCCCTTTTTTCTTGCAATGTAAGCTGACTATAGTAGCTCTTCACAAATAAATTTCTTAATAGTAATTTAGCAGTAATTGAATTATGCTACCTGCTATCAACTTTCTCTGTCCTGTAAACGTTTTCATAGGTAGGGTACCTCAGGATATGAATATATATTTTTGGGCTTCCTCCACAGAAAAAAAAGGTTGGGAAACATTGCTGTAGAGAATGGAATTCATTTGGGTACACCTTTAAAAAATAAGCAAACTTCAGTCTGAATACCACATTACATTATACATTTTATTTATTTATTCTATTCATTACATTTGTTTATAACAAGATATAATGTTAGATTCTTAAATCACCCAATTTAATAAACTAGTGGTACTCAATTAGTTATATCTCGTCTAGTTCACAAGGGTTAATTCAGGGTGTTTGCCACATATAATAACGAATGTGTAACTCTGATGTCTCAAACAATGGAAACAGCCAAACTTCATTGACCATTATGAAGTAGGTTTCTTTTAACTAGTTGTGAGGGAGTGATTTATAAAAATATGAAGTTAAGAAATACTGAGAAGGATAGTTTATGGTAATGCAATTTTCATAATTTTACTCTTCATGTCATATATATATATATATATATATATATTTGTATGTGCTGCCCTCAGACATATTTAAAATTAATACATAAAATTTTCTTTTGTAGTATGATGGGACTGGATATTGATATTGGGAACTCCATTGGGAATGAGGTTGGCATCATCCCTCGCTTTTGTTATGAGTTATTTGAGCGTATTGCTTCCCTAGAAGACTCAGATAGCAGTACAAGAAAGTCTACGTGCAATGTTGAAATCAGTTATTTTGAGATTTATAATGAGAAGATACATGATCTTCTAGGCGGATCATCTGATGGAAAACGTGCTCCACTAAAAGTGCGAGAACATCCAGTGTTTGGCCCCTATGTTGTGGATCTTTCTGTTCTTGGAGTTGCATCTTATGAAGATGTTCAGGTTGGTTTGAAAAGAACTTCATATTTAAGAAACATGAATCATGTATTTGAAGTAATTTGTAGTTGCTTCAGTATGTAAATAATGGGAATGTGTTATGGTTATATGTACTGGGTGGGAGACTAGGAGAGTCTAATATCAGAAAGTGTGGTTACTAGAGAAAATTACTGGGTACAATTATTTCTGTAACATTGCTACCTGCTTTTTGTGTGCAATATAACAACCTTCAGCTTAAAAGCATGCCTCACATTTTGAGACAGTATTTGTAGATAGACAACACCCTGTGAAATGCAAGGTAATTTTCAGTGTTTTGGTAGTTGCTGTTTTGACTTCATATTTTGGGGTAGGGGGCCGCAGAACTTTCTGTATCTGCAGTAGAAGATCCTTGCATTGCTGTCTGGGTGCATAAGATAATGTGCTACTACCTTGTGGGCCTATACTTCTTGTCACTGTTAGCTGAACTTTTTGACACATTACATTGAAAAGTCAAAGAAAATTATATTTTGTGGTTTCTTTTCAAGTCTCAGTGTCATCCACTTTATTTTGACTCAAAATACAGTATTTGTTGTATTATTATATTCATTGCGAGCATTGGTGAGTTGGTATGTATTGTCTCTTATAACTTGTGTTAGCAGTTTTTTCCCAAATAGTCTTTGTAACGTAGTCTGTTTTGTGGTTGTAGTAATAATGTTATTGGTATAGGGTTTTCATTGACAAACATGGAGGAGAAAATAAATTTTCTCAGAACTTTTCATTAATATTCATGGAAGAACCAGATTGTTTGGAAAAAATAATGACTGGTCTTCTGGTATTTATGTTTCCTGGTTTGTCTTCTCAGTAGAAGTCAGTGGAATTCAGTGTCTCCTATATTCATGACTCTTAACTTTATGAGAGTTGACTGATGGGGAAGCATTTAGAAAAATTTGCAATGGAATTAGGCCTGTTTTTAACATGAGACCCTCCTCTCTGAAGACCAAAGCTTTATGCCTACACTGCTATATTTTCTTAAAATTTAGGAAATTGAATGGGAATTCTACAATGCTTACCAGTTCTGGCTTTATAGTGATGATGAATAACAGTTTTCTGTTACGTTGATGAGTAAATTTGTTGCAGGGTTGGCTGACAGTTGGGAACAGTCAGAGAGCTACTGCAGCCACTGGTATGAATGAGAAGAGCTCTCGTTCTCATTCCATATTCAACATTATTCTCACACAAACAGAGGTAAATAACATGGTCATAGCATTTTGACTTTCCACAACTTCAAATCTAGAGTAAATACATGCAATAAAGCTGATGTAAAATCACACCAGCTGATGTTTTATATTACTGTTATGGCGCAACAGCTCCTCCTGAGAAAATAAGATATACTGTATTGATGTTAATACAGTCATTATTTCTGTGGGTTCTTGATCCAGCAAGTTCTTTCCCAATTCTCACATCCATTTTGAATTTATAGTTTTATGCTCCCACTGTACAAAATGCATGAAGTGAATGAATAATGGGGTGGTTAGCCATCTTTTTGTCTCCATGCTTCAGCTCCCAGAATGGATTTAAATACTCAGCCATATTTTTCCACTGTAGCATCTAATTTGCATGAAGATTAATTGAACCTCATACAATTTGTCAAAAATTGCTCATTTTACAAAAATGTTGATTTAATTACGCAGCTGAGAGGTTAACACTCCTTCATATTCAGAAGGTCCCAAGTTCAGATTTAAACTTGGAGACTGAGGTTTTTGTGGTTTTCCTCAGACCCTTTAGGCAAATGCCAAGATAGCAATAAAATAGTTTACACCTTTGAGCAGTTTTTTACTGTTAATTGGATTGTGGTTATTTGATTATCTTTGCCAACAACAGATTTGTGTTTGCAGAATACAAAATTGAGAAGAATGCATTTAGAAACTATACTCCAAATTGGAATATGCATTTCCTTTCTTGTTCTTATGAGAACTTAATTTTTCCCTTTCTTGTATAGGAGGAGCCTGCAGAGAGAGGGGAATTCCATAAGCACTGTCGCAGAAGTAAGATTAACTTGGTAGATTTGGCCGGTAGTGAACGATTGTCACACACTTGCAGCAGTGGAGACAGGTTGAAGGTAAGTAAATTATGACGATACTCAAGTTCAGAACTTCTTTGAGTTATATTTCATATGGTATGTGAAATCCAGTGAAGGCAGTGAAATGAGCTGTGTGAGCAGCTTAGTTCTCTGCTTGCTGAACCCCCAGGGTAGACGTTTCATGGCCCATGCCTGTGGGTTTGAATGTAAAATAAATATTCATATGAAATTCCAGATGCTATCACATGTCATAAGAGTATTTTGAATATTGCATGTAGACTGATGTAATTATCACCCATATTTACTTTATGCACAGGAAGGTGTCAGTATTAATGGTTCGTTGCTGTCTCTTGGGAAGGTAATTGCTGCCTTAGCTGATAATGCAAATGGCAAGAAGAAGAATTTTGTTCCATATCGGGATTCTATTCTCACCTGGCTGCTGAGGGTGAGTACATGATTTCTTTGTTAGACAAATAAGCCTGTTGGTGAATGAGGACCACTTACATTGTCTTTACTATGATCCAGAATTGATCTACCCTCATAACATGCACATGCAGTTTACATTGCGCACAATAACTTCCATATCTTTTTACTATATGAATGTATAATTTGTTTGAATCAGTCTAAATACGTTTCAAATATAGGAAATGAGAACAAATAAAGGGGTTGATGATCATTTTACTCCAAACAGCATGATGTAGAGGAAACTCATTATTTCTACCATTGAAGTTTTGTAACTCAAATAACATACACTGATGTTGATGTAGCAGAACAATAAAAAGTACTCTGGCCTATTTAGAGGTCAAGAAAGCTGCTCCCAAGATCAAGTCTTGAATTTCATTTAAACATGCATCTTATTAGCAGTATTAAAGCTGTGAAACATGGAAGTGTATTACCATGTGTCAGTATGACTGCTAGCTCTTACTTTCCTTTTCTGTTGGCCAGTTTTTGCAACTACTAAATATCAACATTTGTGTGACAAAATCGTGGAGGTAGCATGATGGAGAAGCAAAACTGGGTCGAAGGCATTTTATAAGAAAAAGCATGTGATACAAAAAGAAGACGTTTATTTTTATAAACTTTACAATAATACTGAATGTTCTACAGTGAGAATGCAATGCTTCATTAGAACATCTGATATTACAATCCCAAAAGTATAGCCCATGGCTTCTTTAAATGAACATTTTATGTATAATAAAGTATAAAAACAGTACAGAAAAGGTAAATTGTGAAATAATACTATCAAAATTATAGTAATTACACAGGTTACAATATTAGAAGCTGTGAATTGCTATCCTAAAGATTGAGATAATCTTAAATAAATAAATTTCTAATTTCTTGTTAATGTTCTATATAACATACCAGTTTTAAAGTACCAGAAGAATGACATCAAGTACATTTATTGTTTGTGGATTATATCACATCTCATTTGCTATCCTAATTTTGGTTTACTTAAGTTCACTATGTACTGAAGTACTCATTATTTACTGCAAGATACGAATTGGCATGCCAGGCATTTATAAAAATTATAATCTTATAAAATGGCAGAACATAATTATAAGTAATACATCATTTTAAAATGTTTCAAAATTCAATTAACTGGGAGCAACAATACAAATATAAATGGTCTTTGGTGAAATTAAGAGTAGAATACATTTGGGAAACACTTGTTTTGATTAAATTCAAGATGTATAAAACAATGATTTTGCCTGTTGTATTGTATGGTTATGAAACATGGTCTCTTACCTTGAAGGAAGAATGTAGATTACAAGTATTTGAAAACAAGATGCTAAGGAAGATATTTTGACCTAGGGAGGATGAAATAAGTGGGGAATTTAGAATATTACATAACTAGGAGCAGTGTGAATTGCACAGGTCAGCTAACATAGTGAGGATAGTGAAACCTAGGAGGCTCTGATGGGCTGGAAAGGAGCACACTTTGGAGGGGATACAGAATTTTGGTGGGACATCCTTCTGGAAAATGACCACTGGACAGACCAAGAAGGAGATGAGAGGATAATATCAAGATGGATCTCAGGGAGGTGGTCTGTGAGGATGGTAAATGGATTGAGTTGGCTCAGGATTGTGTCTGGTGATGGGCTTTGGTGTTGTCAGTGTTGGACCTGCGGGTTCTGGTACCAGGGAGTTATTTATAAAACTAAAAGCAAAATGTAGCTCTTTTGGTACTAAATTACAGTGCATTCTTAATATTGCTTTACATATTGCACTGTTTTCTTAATTTAATGTTTGATGGCAAACTGTGCTTCACAGGAGAAATTATTTACATTGGATGTTTTCTGTGGAAAATAAGTTTCCTGTATACAGAAATGTCTTAAAGTTTTCAGTCTATAACAGTTTCCACTTGATGTACCAGGCTTTTCTTTCCTCACACTTATGAGACATTTGGTGAAGGAAAGATGCCTCTGTAACCATTATTCCTGCTTGCCTGATGTTGTTAAGATTAAAATCACAAAATATTTCTTTCCTTTGCACTATTGTAAAACTAAATTGCAGTGTGTCCTTTTATTAGAATTGAATCACAGTTCTCAGAAGGTAATGTCACGAGCTTGACCAATATAATTTTATGTATACAGTGAAGCTTTTGCGACAACTGAAGTTGATGAAAGGCTCTTGGGTTACGAGCCGCGAGATTGCTCTCGTAACGATGGCATAAGATATGGTTTATTCACCATTCAGCCACGTGATGTGGCTTGTAACGCAAGAGTCTTTCATCAATGTAATCTTGTTCAAATGATTCATTTTCATCTCCTTTACTTTGTGCTTCATACAGCTAACACTTTCTTGTATTTATAAAGGAAAGGAAGAAAAAATTTTAGAAAAGAAACAGACAACTGAACAACACAGGAGCCTGCAAGGAGTGGATAAAGATGAGATTTTTCTGTTTTGTTCCATGGAACACGCCTACTTAAAACTTGCAAAGGCTACTTTAGTGATCATTAAATGGGGCTCCAATCTTGTAATTCAATATGGCTGATAATTACTACTTTGCTTTCTCAGTGTTTGACAGTAGAAATCATTTATGATTCAGAGTGACATTAACTTGTATTCTTAAGACTGTGCTTCACTTCTGGTGCCAACTCAACATCTGGATGCTGCAATGATGATTCTTTATTATCTTTTTGGTTGACATTACTGATTTCTCCATTAGTGCATTGTGTCAGTGTAGTAGGTGAAAAGTGGAAGATGAACCAGTATGTGTTGACACTTGCATTTTATTCCACAGGTCTTGCAACAGCCATGCACCTTACACATTGTACAAGGCTTCTTCTTCTTATCTGTAACCACAGTATTGCCTGGCATAAGTTTTGTAATAGTTTGCTTGATTTTATATTGTTAAACACCATATGAAGATTAATTCTAGTAAAACCAACTTCATTGATAAATTATTGAGGATTATATAGGATACAGATGCTGTCATTTGTCAGATCCTTCATCCATCTTCACCTAACATATTAAATCAAGAGTGGAAAGATGTAATTTAATTTGGAGTACACATATTTTCCGAATGTGTACTTGCAATTTCATATCCTTCATCGGTCTTAATGACTATTTATCCCTGATATAAATTCACTGTTGACAAAGCTAATCAGTAGTGGAGATATTTAATTGCATAATATATTGTATTCTTAACTGTTAACTCCTGTGGATGTCATGTAGCAGACTAAGATTGCGTTTTCAAGTACCAAAAATACTGCAGTTAAACTCACGATTGTTCTGCAGATAAACGTGGGGCATAGTGCTCTTGAGAGGTTCATCTAGAAAAGAAATTTTGTGCCTTTGATGGAACCTGAATGTTCATTATCATATTCACAAGAGCTTGCTTGGAACCCAGTACTGAGTCTGATAATTCCAGTCCATGCCATATTTCCTTAAGATCAGTCTTCGTGTTATTATTTACGTCTACATAGATCTCCCAAGTGGTCATTTCCCTTCAGGTTATGAGATCATGATTTTATATGTATAATAAAAGTTACAGCCTATGTATGAACTGTATTGTGTCTTACCAGGGAACAGAATCCCCCCCCCCAAGAAAGCCTTAATATATGATTAATTTTATGGGCATATTCAAATTAAATACAGAGGCCAGTATTCGTATGAGGGTGTTCAGTAGAAAAAAGCACTGTTGCACATGTATATTTTCTGCTAAATTTCTTTTTCTTAGTAAATGTGTACATATATTTTTAATTACCATACTGCAATAAATAATGACTATTCTGCCCTCTGAGATTATGAGGATGATATATAGTAGTCTTCTAAAAATATTACACTTTATAAAAAAGTACATAATTAATTCCATGGAGTTGGCCCTTCTTGAGAAGCTAATAGTCGCTCAGCTTGGCAAGAAATTCCCTGCCTTTTATGAAACTGGAAGGTTTATTGCTTTGTTCACAAGAGCCAACCACTTATCCTTATCAGAGCAAAGAAAATGAATGTAATACTAAATATTCCACTGCAACTTTTGTACAAAATATTTTAATTCACTCTGTATTGTGTGGAAATAAGTGTCTAAAATGTATTTATGCCGTCATTTAAATTGGCTGTTGATGCTCACTGGTTTGTATCAAACATAAATAAATGCGGCGATTTTAGTAAGGACTTTAATTTCATATTTTTTCAAGTCCACCGATCTACATTACATATTTGCATACATAAACACAGCAAAGCCAGTAACATCTTGCATACCGTTGCTAAACGCGGAAAAATGCTTCACTTTTCTGCCAGTTGACTGTTCAGACAGAACTCTTCCATCTGATCAGCATACTGGGAATAACTGGAGTGTGATTATAATAATATGCATTTCTTCTACTGACATCCACTGCGCAGTTAGCATTAAGGATTTATTTTGGACTTGTAGCACCTTCCTAGCTCAGGCTGCATAACATATGTAACGGATACCATCGTCGTGTTGCAAAATGGATAGTATAAGCAACCGTATCCATTTCAACAGTCCACTAACTTACCTTGACACGATGTGCTGCCCTCTTTTTGTCCTTTGAAGAAACTCGACCAGGCCATTCTTAGTTTTCTTCCTTCTTTATGACAGCTCACTGTTACACAATGCTGGGTGATAAATTGTTGTTATTGATATTTCCGCCTTTTATATCGTGTCAGTTCCTTTGGCACACCGTACTGTTGCACACGATACCTTCGGCGCTCTGTACGGTGTTAGTCCATGTTACATAATCCCCGTCTTTCACACGATGTAGTAGTAAGTTTCGAAACACGTTCTGAAAAGTAGGCGACTTTTGCGTTGTAATGACATGTTTGTCAGCCAGAGATATGAGACGCGTTGTTGTGCAGTGACAGAAATTCTCCCCGAAATAGCAAGCAAGGATCTGACAGCAGTAATGGTCGCTTTACGTGTTTTTGCTCGCGGAAGAGATTTGATTCGGAATGCCCGTCTGAAAAGTTGTTATTTCAGTATTGAACAGTTCGAAAAGTTTCTGTCAAAATTATAGAATAAAAGAAGAACCAGGCTAATATTATTTAACTTAAAACCTGCTTGAATGAGGATGGGCGGAATATGTGATGGAATTGTCTTTTCACTCCTGATGAGAAATTGGTGCTAGGAACTCAAGAGGCATGAGTTACGAATTCTTACTCCTGTGTTAGGGAAGTTCCAGGGTTCGGCTGAGCAAAGAAAGTCTATTTCTTTCATAGCTTATTTTAGTCCTGCTGAGTAGCATTGAATTTATAGAATCGTGTAACATGTACTGATTGTCCGTGTGCAGTGCTAACTTAGACTTGGCATTCGCTGTCGTGTGCGCTGCATTTCTTTGTGCGCAGTAGAAAACTTATCCCCACCTTTTGTTGCGATAGGGCGATGCTGTCTCTCAGAGAAACTGGATCGCTAAATGACACACTGTCCATCCTCAAGATGATACATGAGTGAATATGGAGTAGCCGTGGAATATTACTGTCGGAAAAACCGAAGGACTCGGAGAAAACCCCCTCCCAGTGCCACTTTGCCCACCACAGATCCCGGGCCTCCGTGGTGAGAGGTCGGCGACTACCCCCCTGAGCCGCCTCTGCATATTCATTTCCAAAGTTTTCGTCGTTTTCGTTTGTGGCATAATCGGAACTCCAGATTGAAGTCATGTCGCTGTACAATGTGCTTACTCAAACCAGTCTATAGACCAACAGCATACAATGGATATACATACAACAGTCTAATTACTTCTTTGAGGATTGAAGTGGTGATTTGGCTTTTTTAGTGATGTCAATTGTTCTGTGATTTTAATTTCTGAATCTCTTACACATCGTTATGTGTTCTTTGCTCGTATGTATATATTTAAAGATCTTCAAGTAGTCTTATCCTCTGAAGCGTTCCAAACAAAATTTTGTGCATGTTTCATATCCTCCATGCGTGCTATATGTTACACCAATCGTATCGGAATCGTCAGTTACTCGCCTCTTCCCAGCTATTAAAATAAAATGCAAGAGAGTTGAGTGGTAAAATATAATCATTTCCTATTTATTGTAGGGAGAAAATGCGGGCAAAAACCAAAGTACACTGATAAAACAGAGGATTCACCCGAATTGTCACAAACTTATTTTAAGCGATTACGCATCTGAACATCCATTTCCAATGTAAAAGTGAGTGACACCGAATATCACATATGGAAAAAGGATATAAAGCAGTACTATGATGAATATATTCAAATTTATTTTGGGATTTGTCCAGAAGATAAATATAGTTTTATGCCTTATTTCTCCTGTGCAGAGAAACTCTTCAAATACCATAACAGTACATACTCACCACTTGCTTTATCTGTATGAACACTATCAATGTTACATAATGGTAAAAAAAAATAGTTTATAGGCTATCAGAATGTGTCAGTCTTGTTTGTACAGTGCTGCACAGTTTATTTAAATATATTTTATAACTGCAAGAATTAGTCAGCAACACCCTGCCCTGGGATTTGATCTCAATAGCCCATAGCAGGTGCTTGGTTTCTTATAGTTAAATACTAGTTTTCCCATTCTTAGCTACACCAACAAATATTTCTTAAGTGGGATCAACTTATTTGTAATTAAGTTTTTATGAACTTATTTACTCATTTTTAGACCTAACAGTTCTTGCCCTCCGGTACAAATAAATTCTTTTTTGGTTCTTTCCTTTCTGCCTCGTTTCCTTCATTGTTTTGACGGCATTGTCTTCTCGAGCGAGGAAACCCAAACCAGTGATTTATTTCTATCGCTGTGCAGTGGTTGTAGTAGATGTAAGTGTTGCATACAGTGATGGGGGCTGGGAATGCCCTCACATCCGACGCTGTGGCTTACCTGCCAGTGTGAAGGCTTGCGTCACGCTATTTCCACGTTTCTGGTGAACTCGCGGTACACGAGACAAATGTGTTCCAACACTGTACTGTTACATGGTACATATTAAGCAAACATTGGGAAATGTAAATTGGTTTTTAAATGTGGATGTACAGATACAATTAAATCCCCTTTGTGTCCGCCACCGGCACTGCTTGTAGTGGTGTCTCATTTGGCTGCTTCCGTCTGTCGCGGACTGACGGGCGATCCGCTCTTCTGGTCGCAGGCAGAGGATGATGTAGTTTCCTCGATCTCGCATTCTTCTTCAAGAATCCTCTGATCTTCCTTTCGATCCTGGCGGGACTTACTTCTGATGTAGGTTGCTAGAGGGCGTCTTTGACGCTCCTGACAAATAGGACATGGATCCCTGGAGTCCTTGCAGGAATCCTGAGGAATTTTCTTGGTCCTGTTGTGACCTGTCCGGGTTTTGCGATCTGTAAATAATGTTTTCACAGTTAGTGACTGTCACTGTGTGTGTTTCAACATATTTTAGTATTAGATTCTACAGAAATGTGTTAGAATAGGATCCCCTGGCTTGTTTTTGTTTTAAACCACAGTTGAAGGATACATGTGAGCTAAGGGCTTTTCATAGCCATATATGCCAGATCTATTGGCGTATATCCTTTATGGTCTCGAGCATTTATGTTACCTCCTGCTTCTAAAATTGCTCTACGTTTCTTATTTCCCTCAAATATGTACGGTAGATTACACTAATCCGTTTTTACGTCTTATTGCGTTGTCCCGAATCGTTCCAGACCTCTTGATTGAAGGACACAGATTATTTGTTTTTTCTTCCGTAGACGTCACACTCTCACGTCTCTGAATGACCATACTCATGTTAAGTTAAAGTCATGGTTAGGTCTAGGTCATGTCAAGGTCACGACAATATCAGTCCAAAGGTTTGCCGAATAGAGGCCTTTACAATTTTCAAGGTCATTTAAAGTTCTTTTTCCGTGCTTATTTCTGCCGAACTGTCTGAATGACCATACTCGTGGCAAATGGTAGCTGTCGCTCATGATGAGATGTACAAGTAGTAGTTCTGAACTGTTAGGAAGGGTATGGTTACTACTTGCACTGCACTGTGGAATTCGTAGGAAACCAATAAATACTTTCTGTGGGAACAACGCAGAGTTATTGAATGTTAAAGCAGGTAGTACATGTAGCTAGAAATGTGCTTCAAAGTGTTAAATCGAACACGTTAATTCGCGGCTTCTCAAATGGTGGTGCTAACCCAAAGAAGAGACTTTACCTACGCTCAGAACAGTGGCTTCCGTAATCACTAGTACCCCACATCGGTCCGTACAGAGACAACATGTAAAAGTAGATTTTGACGTTCGTCGAGTAACGAACAGCAGGCAGAGCTTTTATTGCTGCATATACATAAATAAGCAGTTACTTTTTTCTCGCCTATTTCAATGTGGATCAATGTTTTCATTTCCTGGAGGACAAAATCTTCCTGGCGCAGCGTCTGGTAAAAACCTGTATTGTGAAGGCCATCATGTGTAATGTGTGCTCATTCTCGCAGCAGCTGTTATTTTTAACTTCACCATCGTCAAAAACAAAAGTGTCCTTAAGAACTACAACTTTTTTCTGCGTTCTTCGCAGATGGAAGAAACTGCAGAAGTTTTACTTGAGAAATGTTGAGCAGCCAAGTAACTCCATGGAACAGAGTCGTTGTGAAGCTGATCAATAAATTCCCAGTTTTTTTTTATGGAACTCGACAGTTATTGCCGTGTTTGTAAATGCTCACCACTGGACACTGTCCTGCGTCAGTTGAATCCAAGCCCGACGCCTTTTTAAAAATGTTTTAAAACTGTCCTATCATCTATGCCTAGGTCTTCCAATTAGTATTTTCCTTCATGTGTAGACTATTATTTAGCAATGATGTGTTTTTCTTATCTCGTGCGTGTTACATGTCCCATGTAGTGAATGTGATTAATGATAAAAGGAAATTTAGAATGGCGTGGTATGTGGACTACGAGTATGAACACCGTCTACTGGAAAAGCGTGCATAAGTAAATCGGGAATTTTGTGGGGGTGGAATAAGCCTGCATCAGAAAATAAGCAAGTAATGAAGCAGATAAAGCGATATTATTTAAAAGCAAGCAGTCGTATATTTTTTGTCGCCTGCATGGAACATGGCTGCGCTATACACACATAAACACAGTAGAGCCCCAGTGATCGCCCAGTGTACTGTAGCTGTACCTTGACACTTGCCGGGGGTCGACGCCTCGTGTAAGGCCGACCGTGACCCTCTTCTATTCTTGTTCCTAGCTTCAGAGTCAAATTAACAACTCTTTCATATGAAAAGCTCCTCGCATGTCACTAAATTGTTATATTTCCGCGCCTCACTCTGTACAAACTTGCAACAACAACAAAAAAAAGCCCGGCAGAGGTGATTTGACAAAGCTGTGTGGAATTTTACAACTTCTCTGTAGAGTTCCAGCAGTGGAATGCACTTGTCTTGATTTTATTCCGAACGTCACATTGCAGTGGTTGGCACTCCTACTTTGAATTCCAGAAGTTTCCCAGAGACCGGTTGCCCTGAGGTTTTTGTAGCTTCTCTCTGTCTCTAAGCAAGTTCTGGGATATTAGGCCAACCTTTTATAGACCACAACTCTCATATCCTTTCTAATTCATTTCCCACGTTCCTGCCGTTTGATATTTTAATAACCGTTGCAAATGACAAAACGTTGTTAGACCAATTACCGGTACATGTTTTCGCTTATCAGCTTCAAGGTCTTGAGTTTGGGTTCTCAACTCGCAGCCCGCCCATGTGTTTTGTGAGGCCCGAGTACAGTTTTTAAAATGTTGTGTTGCTTTGTATGATGAATAGTAGTTAACCTGATTCCAGAAAACAATGCTGTTTGTTAGTGACCGTGAGCGACTGTGTAAGTTAATGAACTGGGATGTGTCTTGCTAATGAGCACTTGGAGGGAGGCATGCGAATCGCAGTAACAGAAATTAAACCCGACATTGAAAGATTACTCAAGAAAAATCAATGTCATATGTTTCATTTATCACTGATTTCGTTAGATAAAATTGCAGAATAACACGTGGATCTGTTTGCAATAGTAAGATTTTTTTTTAAAAAAAAACGTTAAGTTGTGATAAATATTCCTTATTAAAAGCTTGCTACCCCGAGTCGTTAAGGAAGAACTTTTGAGCTCGTATGTGGCCTTGGGTTTGGAAGGGGTTGAGAATTTCATTTCTAAAGCACGAGGTTAAACGACTTAATGGTTCACTTCAGTACCCTGTAGTGACAGATAACATTTTATCCATTATTAGACTACTAAGGGAAATAGGTTACATTAAGCCTTTTAATGCATGCAGTTTATCTAAAATGTCGTGTTAATGGTTTATTTACGTACACTTTTCAGCGTTTTGTTTGATTAGAATGTCTCGGTCGTTATCAGTAGACTGCAAATGTCACGTGAGCTCTTACGGAATCCTTGGAAACATATATTTGTCCCAGGATAAGTTCAATAAACAACTGTTGCTTAAAGGAACAAAGTGTAAACAATTTCGTGGACTATAAACTCTGACGTTTCTCGCATTGTCCCTAATCTTCCTTTTATGAAAAATTAATGCTTGAGTGGATGATAGGCTTATCTAAATTCTGAATTAGTGGAAATGGACTGCTGACTGGCTGTTATGTATTTCGTGTTTAATGATGAAAAATGTCCAAAAGATCGAGTCTCAAGCCGTCATGTTGGTGGCCAGTTAAGGTCGCAGCAGGAAGGGTTAAGGAACCACTGCTCCATAAAGAACTCCTTGTAGCTGAGTCCTTCAAAAGCTGATAGTCGCCATACTTCCAGCCTTTATTGAACCTAAATGTTTATTACCATATTCAAAAGAATTCGCCACTGAACTATATGCCGAGCTAGTTGAATTCAGTAGTTTCCCTACTTCTTGAAGAACGATTAAGTCGCCCAAATTCTTTATTTCTTTCAAGTTTGGCGACCAAAATTTCTCCATAAATGCGTCGCTGTAGTGTTTAAATGAACCATTTATTAATACCAACACAACCTGTCCAATGAAGTACACCATTTTCATTAAATTAAGTTGCGAACTTGGTAAATCCACCTTCTTCATTCCACCCCCACTCACATTACTATTGTCACCTTATTTGCAGATCATGTTTAGAAGCTATGATAGTGAAATCTTTTAACACAGCCTCGCCACAATGTTAAATTAAAGTTTCAGTAACACAAAAACTGAAATACCACCGAATTTCTGCTGCTGGACGTGGGTTCCATTTTACTTGTCACTTTTAACGTGCTGTGCTTAAGCTGTTGACGTGAGACGGCGTTCTGTTTACTGTAGTAGAACAACTGGAATTTTAAAAGCCTGTGGAATTCTCCCAGTCAAGGAAACTGATCCACTTTCTTGTAATAGTGAATCTAATGGAGAATTTACGAATTTCGCTTGGAGATTTTTAAGTGTCAGGACCCCGGGATGTTCTCGGCACCGTAACAGGGAAGAGAAGAGTGGCAGTGTTTTGCTTACTAAATAACTGTGTTAACTTACCTTCATTTGTCGTTTCATTGAGCCACGAATTCTCGTAATTGTGATGTCTAAGTGACTGGTAGAAGACATCTGGCAGGTAGTTGAAGACCATATCCATTATGTTTGCTCGAGTTCTTTCCTGTTAACAAGTCAGACGACACTGTCAACGAAACTGTTTCGATGTACGGTAGATTGTTTACGTACTATAACAGGTATTAATAGCCTTGACATGAAATAGGCAGGTAGCAGACTCCTCAGGAGTATGACAAACGTGAAGTTGTTCAATGGCGCCCCATGCCATGTATATGTATGTATAATTTTGTATGTGTTGCCATGCACACGTGTATGATCGCTCATAAACACACCTTGGCCGTGAAGCAAACTCGTAGAGTGTGAAAAGTAGAGGTAGGTAGTTTTTGCCGTAAATTACGCGGCTTTATCTGTTCCCTCCTATCGCTGTTGTTGGTCGAAATGCGCCACGCCCACAAACTAGTTTATATTCTGACGTAGTTGCCATGGTAGTTAAACGTCACTTCCGCGATGTCTAGTGATCGTGGTTAAAACGGCGTGGAGGGGGAAGTGGATTGCGGCATTTTAGGAGCCCCTACTACGTACCAGAGTCTCCGGAAACAAATTTCCGCCCCCAGAAAGTTCTGAAGTTAATAAACGTACTTGGACATACAAGTTGATATGTGCACGTTTGTAACAACGGGGAAGACCCGTAGATTTTCTTCTGTACAAAATGACTCCATATGGTTCTTTCCATTGTATGATGTTTTTCATAAAATAACTTATTCTTCGGATGGACATCATTCTGTTTTTGGGTAAACAAGTTGCCCAGGGTCAGTAAACACTTTTCCTCCTGTGTGAAGTTGTTTGTTGCACGCATCTGATAGGTCTTGGTGCATACAATTTGGGCCTTTCGCAGGCCTGACAGAGGACAACACAGAAAACCAAAAATATCAGTTCAACAAGCAGACTTCGAACCTGCGGTTCCAATGTTGGACAATCGATAGGGTTCTACATGCAGAAATCGTTAACGGAAACTAAAGTACGCAATTGTGGTTGCAAAATTCATTACGTCCGTTTGAAATACCAAAGTGTAGACAAGTGGCTCTTATAAAAATGTATAGAAGAATCGGTTGTGAAATAGTGAATTTACTCGAGATGCGACTGCATGATGGGACTTTGTGGCGTTTGCAGTGACGCTTTGAGTTTTTTAACAGCAAGACATTTCTCAGTTAGCAGGGGAAACTACCAGATGGTTGGTAGAACTAGTTCCAAGGAACAGGAACTACCTTGACAAGATTACTCGCTGTGCCTTACATCGATCTTTGTTCCACCAGACACTACGACGGATCTGGGATGGCCAAAGCCTCTCATCGAAAAGTTGTTAATCTAGAAGCAAACAAGTGACGTTAATTGATAACACTAGCTCGTCCAATTGAAAGGCAGTGTGCATACCGCGGTTATCTCTCTGATACCCTATGTTCTTTGTTTTTGTTTCGAAGGGAAACTGCTTTTATGGCATTCCGATAATGAAACAAACGATAACAAGTGCTCAGAAATCGACGAAGTTACATTTTCTTCTTCTTGGTGGATGTAACTGACCTGACATTCCGTTTGGTTTTTTGTCCATGTCTCGTAGCCACAATGCTGGATAAAATAACAATACAACATGTCCTAGAACGTAGGAAAGTTAAAATATCTGGGAACAACATAAACAAATAAAAATCATATTCACAAGGAAGGGTTTTAAATTCTGGATATGTTTGCTACCACATAGTTCACAGTATTTTGGTTTCCCGTTTCGTATCTAAAAACGTATATATTCAAATTTTTGAAATCACAGTTTTACTTACTGTTTCTAGTGGATGTGAAACTTGGACTCTCACCATAAGAGAACATAGACTGAGAGTGTTTAAAGAAACGCGTCTGAGGGGCGTTTTTGGACCTAGACGACAGGAAGTGACGAGGATGGGGAAAGTGCATTAGGAGTCACATACTTTGTGCTCTTCACCGCATATTTACTAGGGTGATCAGATTAGAAGAAAAAGATGAGTGGGGCATGTACATGCTTTGGGAGATGGGAAATGCATGCATGTAGATTCATTTGTTGGATTGTAATTCTTGAACCCCTTGATTCGTAGGCCTTTAAAGCGTTGTTGTTTCCTTGTGTCTAATCACCACGCAATGAAGGCAATGAGGACAGGCTCCACCATTCTAGATATAGGGGTGAGTGGTCAGCTTCGTGCATCGTCTGCCTTACAGAGAAAGAAAAAAATCACTGGTAAATTGGGTAAGAAGCTGGGTGGGCTGTTATGGACATGACGCGAGCAAATTTTCGTTCTCCCCCCCCCCCCTCTCTCTCTCGGGGAAACGAACCTCAGTTGTCTATCACGTAACCTGAGATTTTAGTGATTGAGATGATGTATAAAGTGGCAATCACTCAGAATTTACCTTAGGACGGAGATCAGGCGTTTTTTGAGATTATGAATATTGCTGTGACTCATGACTCTGATGATGGAGGCAGTAAGCTCCTCTAAAATTTCGATCAGTATCTTCACCCGGAGGGAAATCTTCAGAATAGCCGTTTAGATGACCGCGGTTAGAAAAGAGGCCTCTCCCGAATACAATTAAAAATTGTGACATTTTTTACGAGGGTCGCTCATTAAGTAATGCCCCACATTTTTTTTCTCAGCCAATACTGAAGATAGAAAAGTGTACTTTTACATGCTTGAGATTTGATGTTTCCCGCGTTCGTGTACGGAGTTTCAAATGATTCCAACCGATAGCGGAGCTGTAGTGAACTGTTAAAATGGCGTCTGTGAACGACTCTCGTTACAAGCAACGAGCTGTAATTGAATTCCTTGTTGCTGAAAAAGAAACGGTGGTGAACATTCATAAACGTTTGTGTGCTGTGTATGGAAGCTGTGCAGTCGATAGGAGCACCGTTGGTCGCTGGGCTAAGAGAGTTAAAGCTTCAGGAAGTGAAGAAACCGAGCTCCGTGATCTGCCGCGCTCTGGGCGTCCTGCCACAGCCACCACTCCAGACATGTTGAACCGCGCGGATGCCATTATTCGTGAGGATCGGCGCATCACAACTCGACAATTGGCCCAACAGCTTTCAGTCAGCAATGGAAGTGTGATTGCAATTATCCAGGCTCTCGCATATTCGAAGGTGTGCGCAAGATGGGTTCCACGAAGTCTCACAGCAGACCACAGGATTCAAAGGAAAACGATTTCTTCTGAATTGTTGGAGCGTTTTGATGCTGAGGGAGAGGTCTTTCTGTCCCGGATCATTACAGGTGACGAAACCTGGATACACCACTTTGAGCCAGAGACAAAAAGGCAGTCAATGGAGTGGCATCATCCTCAATCACCGAGAAAGAAGAAATTCAAGACAACTCCCTCCGCCGGAAAAGTCATGATGACTGTCTTTTGGGACAGTGATGGGGTCATTCTTGTGGATGTGATGCCAAGAGGTGCGACCATCAATTCAGACGCGTACATCAGGACCCTGAAAACCCTCAAGAAGCGTTTTCGACGAGTTCGGCCTCACAAGCATCCAGCAGAAATTTTGCTCCTGCACGACAATGCACGCCCTCACACAAGTCTGAGAACCCGGGAAGAAATCACCAAATTGGGTTGGACGGTGCTGCCCCATCCACCCTCCGACTTTCATCTCTTTGGGCCACTTAAAGATGCTATCCGCGGAACAAGATTTGAAGATGACGAGAGCGTGATTCAAGCAGTGAGGACATGGCTACGTGCACAGGACAAGAGCTGGTACCGGCAAGGCATGCATGCCCTTGTTCCACGCTGGCGTAAAACCGTACAAGTTGATGGGGACTATGTGGAAACATAGTATGTGTAAAGGAAACATTGATTTATATTGTCACTAAATTTGAGCCATCTTGAATAAATATGTTCTGAGGAAAAAAATGTGGGGCATTACTTAATGAGCGACCCTCGTATATACATTTTAAATTTCACGAACCCCCTAAGATGTCATCGCGTACCCCAGGTTGAATACCACTGTCCTAGAGTATATGGCGCAAGATTTCAAAAGACAGCCATCTTCACTTTTATCATATTGGGAACCTCAAGTCTCACCTAAACTTAAGATGGCTTGCGTTGTCAGCTATCCCGTCTACAGCGTGAATATGGCACTTTTAATAGTTGGTGATAGTGGAAAAGGTAGGCGATAAGACTTCCCTTTCATCTCTCTTCCTCCCTAAAGAATCAGTATTATCTGAAGTACTTCATGCTGGGAAGTACCCTATACTGCGTTCATATATTTCGCATTATAATTTGCTTGCTTGCTCTGTTGCCATTTTAATCCTGAGACCACATAGTTGGCTTCTTGTAATATTATACACTTCTATCTTCTGTCTGCACACGTAGTTGGAATCTCCCGGGGAAATTGTGTCAGATGTTTAATGGTTTTCCTCATTCTGTCCCGCTTTTTCATGGAAATCCGTATTAAGCTTTCCGCTTGCTTGTTCAGGCAGAGATATGGAAATGCTTGCTTAATTTTTGTGAACAGTCTTGTATCTTGTAAATTACAAACATGGCGACGGAATGAAATTCTGAGATTGTGTGTGATTACGGCTTCCATGAAAATGAAAACTGTACCAGTGGACACAATTAGGTCATTGATTTCATATTATTTTTTAGTACTTCTGGTTAAACTTTCTGCAGATGGGTGCGTTCAACATAAAACGTTATTGTTTATTAGTTATTTTTGTTCACGTGTGTAGGATTTTTCCAGACAGTATATATGCATTCCTTAAAAGTCGGGAAATATTTTGACTAGTTCTCAAGAAGGACTCTCTTAGGTTCAGTCATTTTCTTCAACTCCCTGTTCTTAAACACCTTCACTGTACCAAAACATGTATACCAACGCATATCTGAGATTGTGACATATTGACGCATTAGGTATAAATAAGAATAACAGAACCCCTCCTGCTCCGCCTCGGACGTCAACAGATTTCAGGGTCGTATCTCTCGCAAAACAAACATTTGTTCATGAAACAGACGTAGTCTGTCCGTCTGTCTATTGTACCTTCTTTCGGTGCTTACTATCTGTGGCATTGAAAATAATTCTAAGTGGTACAGACGTATTGCAAAGTGCCATGCGATGCTGTAAGTGAATGTAATATCAGGAGAAACACTTGTTGCGTTTGCAGACCCCCTTGCTTTGGAGGCATTGTTAGTCTGAAGATTTTCTGAATGTGCACGAAATAATATTAGTTTCACTATGCTAACATTTTATGAATATGCCACACCCACGCCTTGCTTCTTTGTTGTTGGTTTTGAATTAATCTACTACGTCTAGGTACTTCAAGAGGCATGTTTCTGTACGGTTTTGTATGCGTTTTAATGCGTGCTACATGCCTCATCTGACGTCGTTCCATCACGGTAAAAGTCGTATTGATATTTGTGTGCTCATTGCGTATAGCGAAATAAGAGCGCGATGGTGCATTGTGTCCTTCGCCGATCTGTTTCGAACGCCAATACGAATAAACTGCCTTAAAGTATCGACGTGATACTTGACGGTTCCTATTTTCTTTTGAATTTTGCAGCAGGTATTCATAAGTGTTTATTTTGATAGGTTTTGTGAGCGAATTTTGCTGTCTCAGCGGATATTCTAAGGGCAGACTAATTATGTCTGGTCATTGCATTACTTGAGATCACGCGGTCACTTTGTGCGAAATGTAGACATCAAATGTGTTTGCTCTTTTTTCCCCACGCGTTATTGTCGTTTGTTGGAATATGGCTGGATGATGGTACCTTCGACAGACCATAATCTTAACTTCTTACTCTTCTTGCGCCTGTTGTATTATCCTTCCCTATAATTATTGTTTTCTGAATTTGAAAATTTATGTCTCTCGCTTCATGTTAGAACGATTTAATTTCTTAACATCAGATTACTACTAAATTTAGAACGTTTTTACTTTTTCTCTGTGTGGTAAGTAGAGACTTTTGTCGTACGACTTTATTTTGGTGCGGGGAGGAAGGCTGTTGGGGATGTGTATGTCAATACCTCCACGAATATAATGTCGACATTCTGACGTTTCAGATTGTGTTTAACTTGTATATAGGAAACAGAGCTCATCAAAAGCGTTGCCCAAGCCCATACGATCACCTTACCATCTACCTGATGGCTTCTCGATTTATGTGCTTCGATGTCTAACAGGCGCCTTGCGTAAACGTTGTGCAACCCAGGGGCACAATTGACCAGTCCTCTTGTAAAAACACGCGAACTTTGTCAACTGTTTCTCTTCAAGGATTCGTACATTTTCCATTCCTGTCTGACTGTTTGGCATGTAACCTTCAATAACGTCGGTTACTGCGTCAAGTGCCACACTTGCTTTTGTCTGTGTGATAAAATTTGTACTGTCTGAATATAATGCAAGTTTACTCGCTATGGTTCGCAGTGACTGAATTATAAAAGTGGTCCCAAAGTAAGAAAATGATGCATTATTAATTAAACGATAGGGAGATACGAAAAACAACAAGTGTAATATTGTGGAACAGTCACTGATGTTTAGTCACTCAAGTGGTCAATAAATTACACACCTTTCATGGAACCAGAAGTTTCTTCTCTGTGTTCACAAGATCCCGTCACTGGACCCGTATTCTGAGCCAGCTGAATTCAGTCAGTGCACACCGTACTTGTTTAAGATCCATTTTATATTACCTTCCTACATACGCATAACTCTTCCAAATAGTCTCCTCCCTTCGGGATTTAATAATATTAATAAACAAACGGTTATAACTAAATCCCTTATGTCCGTTCCTATTTTCAAAAAGCTGTTTCGTTTCTTTTTGACAACGCATGAGTCTCCCACCTTGGAAACCCGAATTTGTTTCTCGGACAGTGATTAGTACTTATGAAAATAGTTGACGTCCGAGAAATACCGTCGGCTTTATGCTGACTATCAAAATATGAAAATAAAAATTATATATCGGAAAATTGATATTACGTGTATTATGTACATCAGTAAGGTGCTTAATTTCCTGACAGATAGTGTCAGCTGTTGATGTTATCTTTATGAGGTCAACTAACAATGGCAGTTTAATACGTTCCCAACGGAGATGAAGGTTATAAAATTTTTGGGAAATTTAGTTGAGGGAGAAGGGTGAGAGGATAGAAGACAAGTGATGGTAATTTCATGTTCCTGTGAGTGTGGGAAGAAGTTTGATCCGCGAGATGATTGAGGAAGTGGAAGTCTCTGCCGAGGAGGTATTCATCCATCAGGAATGTGTGTCAGAGTTGAATGACTTCATTGGACGGCGGGCTAGAGGGGGAGGGGAAAATGATGGCATTGACCTAAGGTGTTATTCTTTATGTCATCGATGTCTGACCACGAAAAAGAAAGTGGTGTGTAGATTGCATGAATTTTGCTCTCAGACGATATACTGTAAAATAAACCTTCTGAGAAAGTAGACAGTGGACACGAATATTTTAAAGAAACATTGTTCAAACGGCGTTACAGCAAACGACAGGGCCTTGCTAGAGCGGTTTATTGTTATCCAGCTGGAAAGAAATATTCTGATTAAATGCAGTATAGAAGTTCGTCAACATTTGCACAGAAAATTCGTAATTGGACCCTGTCCTGAGCTAGTTCATATCTTCTCTGTGTAACAGCAAAAATCCTTGTTTTCTGCCATGTTTCTTCCAAATGGCGCACTGTTAAAGTGGTAAATACAAAAATGCACCTCTTGGAGGGACAAACCTGGAAACAACGTTTTGTTTTTTGCTTCGAAAAATAGACAGAGGTATCTAAAGAATTTATACGTCAGAAAAACTACCTTGTTTCTCAAATGGTGCATATGAGAAAAAGAATACAATAGCCAAGTGGGCGTGTGTGCCCCAAAATTATCTACTAACACTGCCCTATTCATGCCTGTAACCGAATTGCCCACATCCCTTCAGGGTTTTCAACCAACTGTTTGTATTGCGTTTATTGTTTCTCCCATATGTGTGATGTTCTGCCTGTCTCAGCTTACTTGATTAATGATCATAAAGATAAGAGATTTTTCGAAACACCGCGATGAGGGACAGATCCTCGGCCACCCAGTCCCATTTCTGAGGTAGTGTTCTAACATAGCAAGATTGTAATTTGTTTGGGTGTAACTTGGGGCTTCCATAGAATACTGATGTTGCTTGTTTTTGGCAAATCAGACTTCACCAACCTGACTTCTTCCACATATGTAGTAGACTTTGGGTTGTCTGCAGTGCCTTAAGATCAGTGCTGCAGTTCCAGTGGAGACATGTTCTGCATTCGGTATTAATGTTAGATTTTGTTTTTCATATGGATGATGCATTGCATGCACCCATTGGTGTTTTATTATGTCCTTGGCATATTCAGACTCACCATAGCAGGTGCCCTTTATCAAACATTAAAATCATTATTTTTTCCTGTTCAATCCCTACACTTGGAGTTTTGAAAATAATCGCAGGTGCCCAGATATCCTTTATATTGTGTTACTTTATACTACATTTAAAAAAAATATATGCTCATACATATTGGACTGTGCCATAGCTGAGGCACTTAAGACACTAGCCTCTCACCACTGAAACCCAGGTTCAGTCCCATTTGACTTAAAGTGTAATTTAATCTGTTCTTTTCCAAATGACTATTTTGGTGCAAACATCAATGGATGATAATGATTAACATTTCCAAAATTCTTTAATTAGAAGTTTGTAACTGAAATCTACAGGAAAGAGCATTCTCATTTTCGAAGGGTGAAACTACAGTATAATTTGGGGTTTTAGGAAGGGTATGAACAATTTAAAATAAAATAGCATTAGTAGCTTTTGTTCTAGCAGAATTGTTGGTATGAACTTTGGTTCAGATTTGAGGTTCTCATGGCAGTAAAAACCCAAATAACAGCTATCTTCACAGACTTAGGCTGATCAATACTGTAGTTAATTAAGTTTTGGCAGTAATTTAAGACTTGTGATTTGCAGGAGAGTCTGGGTGGTAATTCACGAACCACAATGCTGGCAACCATCAGTCCAGCAAACATACATCTGGATGAGACATTATCTACACTTCGTTATGCTGGTCAAGCTAGAACCATTGTTAATCGAGTGCGGGTCAATGAAGATCCGCATGACCGTCTTATCAGGTTTGTTCATCTATAAAGAAAGATGACCACAGCCAATATCAGCCTGTATTCCTTATTTTAAAATGAAAATGTGTGGTGTAACCTAACTTTCTTGTTTGTCAACTGTATAACAGCATTCAAACTAATTATCCAACTTTCATTAATTTGATATGAACATCAGGTATTGTAAGCCATTGTGTGTTCATATCATCATCAATAACGAAATGGTGGTTATTCAAGTTTTCAAGATGAGGGCAACACTATCACTATTCTGTGTTGAATCCAGTCTGAAGATGCTAAATAATATGATCACATAATGATTTCAGAGAACTGCGAGCGGAAGTAAATCATTTACGTGCTCTGCGGGAGGACTATGAACATCAGATGAAGATGGGAGTGCCTCGCCGATTGTTGCAGCCAGATAGGACTGATCTAAATGACAAGGAGCGTGAGATTGAGATTTTGAAGGAACAGCTCAAACACAAAGAAGAACAACTGAGACAATCTGAGGAACTGACAAAGGCTCAAAAGTATGTCACAATTTCAATAGAACATTCATTATGTGCTACAAAACACATTCTGTTTCATGAACTTTTAATAGTAGAATTATTATCACCAAAGGGTATCATTTTAAATTGCAGTATCTTTTCAATTTTGCTTTCTGTGATAGGTTATCATTCTCATGTACTGACACATCTCAGGATTTTGTTTTAGGTGAGGGAGTTACAACTGATAAATGAGAATTAAACTTTGATAGTATTCATAACTTAAATGAATACTGGTCATAATGATAATGTGGTGTTGGTGTAAATAGTGGTGATGAGATACAATATAAAATGAAGTCTGTATTGAGTGCAGAAAACTTGACCATTATATTTCTCAGAAAGAGTAAGCAATTTTATTTCTTTTAAATGTCCCTTTGTTTGTTTTTATTTTAAACTTTCTTTTTACAAAGGACTTATTTAGAGCCACTGGATATTGAAATTTGTAGAGAAAGTAATCAAATCTGGTTATTACTTCTCACAGGGACACTCGTCAAAATGAGTAGAACATTGGCTCATTCCACTTCCCATCTATGCCTTACACTACCAGTCCTGTCAGTCCTTATTCTGAAGTTACATGTCCTTGTTACCTGTTTAACGTATTGAGTGTTTATTGTTGTGTCTGACATATCAGTTCTAGCACTATCAGCTACTGACATCTGTGAAAAGTGTAGTCCGATTTGGCACATAAAATAATCTGGCTACTTTGAAAGAGCCAGAAGTAGGAAACCACCTTGCACTGTAAATGTGCTAAAAGAATATAAGAACTATACAATTGATGAAGTCCATTACTTTAGTTTCACAACTACATTTCAGACCGTGGACAGAACGTCTTGAAGAGGCTGTGAAACAGAAATCTGCTGAACTGAATCATCTGCGACGCTGTGGGGTGGCCCTGCAATTGGATTGGAAGCAACATTCACCTTGTCTTGTTAATCTAGCAGCTGACCCCAGCTTCTCAGGCACCTTATTATATCTCTTGCCAGAAGGTGTTATCCATATTGGCCGGCTAGGTGCAACCACAGGGGATCAACAACCAGACATTGCTCTCAGTGGACCTCTGATCCAACCACATCACTGGTAAGATTCACAGTTTTAAACATCATCTCAGCTACTAAGGAGATAGGTACAACTGAGAAAAACACAATGTAAGGCTATTAAACCCAAATCTAGTCTGTTACAAATATTTCAAATGGCAGCTCCTTCATTACACATGTAGGCCATACTGCTGTGACTCAGTCTCTAGAAATTAGATAGATGTGTTTTATTTCCTGTATGTTGAATATGATTGTACTGCAATGATTTAGAGGGTTGTTCAAGACAAGATGCATGACATAAAAGTGAAATCACTGAAGAAGGAGCAGCTCTATGAGACATATACTAGCCCTTGGAATATACTGTTTGGCCAGGCTTGTACATATGCTTATTTAGTATCATATCTCATTCATAATTTGTCATTTTCCTCATTTTCTGGGGATAGTATTTTCAAATAAGCAGTGACAGTTTTCTCACTAAGTTTCTTCATAATCCCAGTTTACAAGTACCCTCACATTGCATCTGTCATGATATATAATCCTTACATTTGATATTTCATGTGTTTTTCTGTTGAACTTTAGAAATAAACTGAGTTTTTAGCAACATAACACAAATGCATATAGGGCACATGGGGATTCCACATGTTAGTAACATCAGTATTAGTGGACATAATTTTCATACATTTATGTTCATGTTGATTTTGTTGATTGCAGCACAGTTGAGAATAAGGACTCAAAATTAACTCTCATTCCGGGTTCCAAGGGTGAGACATTTGTAAATGGAGAATTAGCAAAGGAAAGAATTGGTCTCCAGCATGGTGACCGTCTAGTGATAGGAGGAAACCATTACTTTAGGGTTAGCAACCCATATGAAAATGACACAGCAGCCACGGGGCAGCCAGTGGACTATGAATTTGCACATCAAGAAATTCTCAGAATTCAAGAAGAAAGGTAAGATAAAAGCATTATTATCTTCCAGGTGACTAGATGTAGCCCTTAATATATTTAAGTGAATATAAATGCTAAGTATTGTGTTCTTTCAGACTTCATGCTGACTTGGATGAGGCAAAGAGACAAGCAGTCCAGGAATTAGAAGCAGCAAAGAAAGAGGCAGAATGGCAGCTAGGCTTTCAAAGAATGAATTATGAACAACAACTCAAACAAATAGGCACCGCATTAGTAAGTAGGAACTGAAAATTAAGTGACATAGTCAACCAACCAAAAAGCTAACTAAGGGTGGAGTCCTGCACAAGCGCTTAATATTGTTACAGTATAATATCACTTGGCCTACTGCTTCATTCCCAGTTCTTGTCTGGATGGAGCTTGGTCTTGTTGACCCGTTCTGGACAGTTGCTCACGCAGCTTGTCCTTGTTAGTCTTGTATAGTACATTTGAGTAGTGAGCGACAAGTTGACTGCCTCTGCACAATTTATGCTCAATCCTGATTTGTCTGCTAGAGCCATCTAGTAGAGAGGGGAGACATGGGTGAGAAACATCTATGGGACTGATTTATCATTGTGTATCCATGGCAATGCAGTCTAAGGTTCAGCACTAGTAAAACCAAAACCTGTCACTGAAAGAGAGCCAATCACATGCTCACTCTCACTAAAGTCAGCAGCTTTTATTGGAAACACTTATTAATATTGTGAATATTCAATTGGAAAATACTGTATGAAGTATGGTGCCTGTAGAGATTAATCTGAATATCAGCCATTGTGGCTGAGGTGGTTGTTCCTTTCACTTCACCCAAGGGAATTTATAGAATGGTACCTTAAATTAGGCCATGATTACTTCTTTACAGATCCTTTTCAATTCATTATTAACTAATCATCTGTTCGTTTGATACTGTGTGACCTAAGCTATTGACAGTATCATTAAACGATGCATAAGTAATATTAATGTTTGTAGTGTGACTTCCTTTGCAGCAATGGGTTTTTCTTCACAATGAATAAAAATGAATGAGGTATGCAAAATAAAGAACATATTTTGAAAATGTGTGCACTCTGAATTTGAGTGTGGCTTTTCACACATCATTATCCTGCCTCCTTCTTAATCTTCCAAGTGATTTCTCCACCAAAATTCTGTATGCATTCTTGTCTCCTTTATTCAAGCAAACCTGTCATTTTTTTAATGCATTTAAATTAATTAATAGTAACCTTGAGTGAGTTTATTAAGGACTCTGCCCCATGGAGTTAGTTAAACTACAGATATTCATCTTAATTGTGAGGAGAAAAACAATAGACTGATACTACAAAATCTGTTGAGACATTTGCTTTATATTGCTCTATGTGTTACTGTTCTGCTTCTAATAACAGGAATTTTGGGCAAAAATACTGACACATATATCCTTTGCAGGAGGAGCAAAAGAATGCTCTGTCTGAAATCCAAAAGAAGAAAGATGAACTAGAGATACAAAAGAATATGTTAGAAGCTGAGGTTCAAAGGAGAAGTGCAATTCAGGAAACTACCACAGACTTCATTGTGACACCATACAGATCCAACTTCCTGCAGGTAGGATTCTCACAGATTGATTCAACATGTTCATCTTCTTACATTTTACGGGTAAATATCATAAGCATGAATAGGATATTGTATCATAAAGTAAGTCTGTGGAAACACATCCAGAAATAGAACTCTTTTCATGTCAAAAACTGATAGCCTGTGCTTCCCAACAACTTGGATAATATTTTATGTATACTTCATAGATACTCTCACCCCTGCAATCCTTCCCTTCTGTTTCCCTCTACTTTAATTTAATAGTGATAGGAACTATAATATTTTCAAAATATACATAAGTGCTATGATTTGAATTGCAGTCTTGGCAATGTACACCATTTAGTGGTTTGTATACTAATTTCATTTCATGTACCTTCTCAGCCCATCACCTCTGACAAAGTTTGAACTTACAATGGTTTCTGGGCCCATGTTTAACTATAGATCATCTGTATCAGCCATCATCTTTATCACCATAAGTTTTGGGGGAATATACAGAATCTGATCCTGTGAGTGCTCTAAGTTCAGAAGTAGATTCCTTCATCCTTGCCATCTGTGCCTTAGTAAATTACTGTGTCCATTAGCTGGTAGAATACCAATGTTGCCTGAAGCTGTTTCCATCTTATTTTTTCTATGGTACACTTAACAACACTCACACTATTGTGTTTATCTTCATCTTTACCACCAAACACCGGTGATGTCTAAAATGTGGATACTTACTTTCTTCATTGCCAAATAGTGATGCCACAATACTTAAATGCCATACCTGAAGACAAGGGTCCAGGAATATAATTAACCCATTTGCCGCAGCCAGATAAACAGAGAATCAAGTACATGTTTATCCTTGGCCTAAATGTATAATGACAAGATTTTGTTGAGTGGCTGATGGTATTTCTGGAAGCAAATGCGCATTACATTCTTGTAATTGTTACAAAACTGTATCTTTGCATAGGAAATTGAAGCTGCCTTAAATGAAACTGTGGTGGATACAGAAAGCAACTTGAAAATGGAAATGAGTCTCTCTGACAGCTTGGACGGTACACATCTCCATGAACTTATAGTAGCAGTAGAAGAAGCTAATCAGCGTTGCAAAGAGATGGACATTCATTTTGTAAGTTGATTGTGATAAGCGTATGCAGTAAACATAAATGTGTGCAAATGTTCACTTGGGATTTGTAATTGTTTACCATCCACCCAGGAAACACATTTGATTTACCCATCACTACTTAAAAAATATCACTGAATTCTTGCCCAAAATAATATGACCTTCATAAACTCACTTCCCCCATACTTTCTCTACAGTTCTATTTCCCACATCCTTGGTGTCTCATCTCCTATCATAGAGATCTTAATCATATGCACTTCCCACCAACCGCTGAGAAGTCTCATACTCTACCAAGTACATCTGTCAAAGATCTACATATTTGACCTTATCTTGCAAATGCTTGAATGATTGTGATGTTATGTTACAATAATTCAGGAATTTTATTTGTGGGGAGTATGAATTATCTCTGTACTTTAGATTGCTATGTCTGTTTTTCTGTATAGTATTTATGTTTACATCCAAAAATTCACACCATTGGCACAGACCAAAAGCTGATATCTCCATTCATTTGGAAAATTGTAAAGGAAAGTTTAAAAGCACTGATAATAAAGTACTTCTTTGTTAGACATCATTCTGAACAGGAAATGCATTAGACAGGTTTTTATTTATATGTATTTTGCTACAGGTTTCATTCAAACACATTTTAATTGGCCTAAGCCTCTGGAAATTCAACTTTCTATGTTGCAGGAATTTCAGCACCAATACATTTTTGGAGAATCAGGCCTGGAACCCAAAGTAAGAGTTCGTGACACTGACAAACATCTGACTGCTTTCTGGAAGCCTACAAATTTCCTCAAATGGCTCAGTCTTTTGCGTGATTATGAACCGGTTAGTTACTTCATATCTGTTAACTGCACAACACATTTCATCACATTTATTTAAAATATGCTACTCCTTTTAATTCTCCTGAAAGTATGAGGAAAAATCAAGAGAAATTTCTTTTCTGGTCTGTTTCATAAGTGGGTATAAAAATGAAAAATACTTTAAAATGTAAACAACTACATAAGAGACTTTTTGTTGCCTTTCAGTATAGTGAAGAACCAGTATAACTTTAATTTCAGTAAAATATTTATATAATTTGCTTGTCTCTTCAGAATTTAATCACCTAATTAAAAAAAACATTTATCTGGTTATCTGTCTATAAGCCTACAGTGTTACAATCCAAAACACAAACATCATCTTCCACTGTGAGAACCTCAAAACTCTTGAAGATCTGAGATTCAAATGGTCTTACATTTATGTACACTTTCCCTCTATATTATTATGGTGATTATATATTGAAAACATATTGTTCTTATAGTACACTGTGTTCATTTGATACAAGCAGTTTCAGCAGTTTAAAAAAACTGTTACCATCCTACACAAACCTAAACTCAAGTGCACTATTTTAATTGTACTGTCTTTTCAGAATGACAGCTTTAAGGAATTATTGGACACTGACTTATCATGGGAAGCTGATGATTGGAAAGGAAATGAACACGACAGTATGCACAATAGGAGCCGAATATCAGTCAATATGCACCAAATTAAACAACAGCTCAATGACAGCATACAACATTTGTCAGTGGAATACTCATCAAATAATGATTCAGTTCTAGGCAGTTCACAGAATTATTTATCTGTGACTGACAACACCAGTACAGCAGGTATGAGAAAGTTCCTTACATTTCACACTAGGTCTCAAAAATCAAATTATAGTTTGTAACAGATTATGTAAGAAGTCAAGAGATATTTTACTTATCTTTGCATTGTTACTGCTATTTAGCCTCATTATTTGTCAGGAGCTGAATTTAAATGAATAAACATTTATCAGCTGATGTATAATGTAAAATTTAAGATGGGTATATTCACAAATTTTTATTTTAAAAATAGACTACTCATGTACTTTGTATTATCATTAGGATGTGTAATATGACACAGTGAGATGTAAACACTTCACAGTGTCAAAGCCCAGTTCAGTCCCTGCAACAACATTCAGTAACCTCTTGTTTCATCTCAATCAGCATTTTCCTTTTTTTGAATTTAGAAAATAATAATGTGCTATAGAGCTATTATGAAAATAAAAAGCATCTTGCAGTCTCTAAGAATATGATTAATTCTAATAACAATATTTTTGTATATTGCAGATTGCACTCGTGATACTGAAGGTGTGAGCAACTGTCTGCAACAAATGGAAACAGCAGCCATCAGACTTCACAAATTGTGCAAGAATAGGAAAAAGTGCGAGAAAGTATGCACAACTCTGGATTCACTACATGGCCTTATCCAGCAACTGAGGTTTGTTTTAGATGTCAGCCATGAACATGACATATCATTTACACAACAATATAACACTTCAGAACATTCTCCCCAACTCTTTGGAAGCAGTCCCAAGAAGAGATATTTTCCTTGTCTGCCTTCACATTCTGCCCCAGTGAGATCAAGTCTCCGATCACCATGTCCTCAGTTATCAAGAACAAAGAAAGCAGTCAGATTCTTTTTGACAACAAGTCAACAGGAACGGAATACAGAATAGTAATACAACAGCAGTTGTAAGGTTTTTAATTTTATAATGTACTGTAATATAAATCATGTTTTTGTTGATAACAATAAATTATAATCTGTCTCTCTGAAAGTATTCAGTCAAAATAATCCTCAATATCAATGTCTGGGTTCAACAGGTCTTCACCATAGGCACTGAGATCAAGTTGATTCAAAATCAAATTTTCACACATTTCTTCTAAATCTGTTTCTCCTATGAGAACTGCACCCTGCATCTTTCCATCTTTCATTACTAATTTGATGTACTCAACCCCCTTTGTGACTCGGAGAAGAACTTCATACTGCCCATCAAGTGTCTGGCCATTGTATAAACCCAACAGTACAACCTTATAACCAAAAAACCGTGTCACATGTGAAAACAACTCAAAACAGAAATCTTGGAGGACTGTTTCACCTGATAATGAAGCTACCATACTCTTAGCTGCATACATCCCCATCTGTCGAGCTTGAGTCCACAGCCTCATCTGAAACCAATGTGCAGCTTGTTCCCATGATGCAGTACATACATCTCCTGCAGCAAAAATGTCAGGTATGCTTGTCTCCATCTTCCAGTTAACCTTTATCCCTCCATCATCAGCAAGAATGAGTTTGTCATTTGTGGTTAATACAGAATTGTTTGGTATTACACCAGTCGCTGATACAATGAAGTCACAGCCATAGACTTTGCCATTTGTCAAATGAACATATACAGGCCATGATTCATTGCTTGAATCCTTTAACTCTGCTTTGTAACTGATTTCCTTTACTTCAGTTTCATATTCCACTGTGACCTTCGTCATGTTAGCATGAATTCCATGAATGCTGAAAGTGGCATGCCAGTCTGGACCCAAGGCTGCTCCTCTAGGTCTATCCTTCAGATCAGAAGATCCACTGACAGTATATTTCAGTCTTTTTACAGCGGATGATGTCTGACTTGTCATTCTCTCCTTTGTCTTTAACAGCCGTGTTTGAAAGAATTCTGCAGCTCCTGGATCTATATATGTGGCTGATATATGCTTATCCTTTATAGCCCATATTATTTCTACTCCTTCAATTTCATGCACAAGCTCAGTGGCTATGCCTCCATTTCCTACAACAATAATCCTGCGAGCATCCTTGATTCTAGTCTCAAATGCCTTCACAGATTCAGTATCACGTATACCAAGAACAAATGGATTTTCTTCTGCTATTAACTTTGGACTTCCTCCTGTACAAATACATATCTTCTCATACGCGATGCACTTTCCACCAGATGTAGAAACTATATGCTCTTCAGTGTTAATTGATGTCACTGTATCTTGTATTACAGATACAGTCTGATGTAAGTCAGCAAATATTTCAGCTCTGAGCTCTTTAACATCAAATTCACACAGTGTCTTGGTTAGGTGAACAATATTGGTAACAGCCTTAATGACAGGTGAGGCTGTAAGCAGCAAAACTTGCTTATCAGGCCTCAAAAATGCTAATCCTTCTGCACATGATACTCCAGCTATACCTCCTCCCACAATAACAAATGAATAGCTTTCCATTATAGGTACTCTGTACTTGGCAGACTATTAGAGTTTATAATATAGTGAATAGTCATATTCACGAAAAGGAACATCAAAAGTTATGAAGCCATAGTCCTTTGCCTTTTCTATTGCCACCAGCAGCTCCAAGTGACGCCTCTGACACAGACCAGTTTTTCTGGGGGGGAAAAATATAATGTCATTTTGCTGTAATACAGAATATGCAATAATTTGTTTTGAGTAATAGCAAAAAAACTACTCACGAATAGCTGAATACTTCTCCAGTATGTGGTGAAATGAACTGGTTTAGTAAATCCACATTCTCATGATGCAGTACCAAATATTCATCTCTGCAGATTGGGCATGGGTTACCTGTTGAAATTATACCACCTCTCTGAAAAAAAAATTAGTATGTTTTCTGAAAAAGTGAATTTTTTTTTCTATTCATTTTACATTTTAAATTGTACAATATTATACTGAAACATTTTAGTGTGATTTGTTTGCCTTGCAAAAAGTATCAGGACAGAAAAGAAAGTATATTTTCTCCATATAACTGATGCCATTATATTGTTCTGTCTATCACAGCTCAACTGTACAATTCATTATGTAAAAGCCTAGCATAATATTTTGTTGGCAAATTTAAGAAGGCAGATTTTTTGGAGACTAAACTGGCCCTATAGTTCAGTCTCTAAAAGCAGGATATGGTAGAATTACACCCCCCCACCCACCCCGAAAGTGCAAGCTGTCTCTACTTATCACAATTCTGTGAGAATCTGAAATTTTTTTCTGCTCTTGACATGACCTTGGAATTTATAGATTGCAAAATTAAAATCACAACTGGCACAAAATTCTGTACACTAAACTCCCCTGAAAAGAATATATTCTCTCTTTATAGTGTATCACTTCAAAGCATGACTAAAGTTTTATCCACAGATGTCTACCAGCTTCACAGATATTATGGAATCATGGTATTGTCCGCGAGCCACGACAGTAGACCTGGTATCTTTGAGGGAGGTGGGGTAGACTTCTGTGCTACTAACGGACTGAAAAACACCCACAGCTTATACAGGTCGTACGTCGTGAGCTAATGTACTGACTGACTGATAGCACAATGTTCTTAGGTAAGGAATACATCACCAGCGCATGCGCAGAACCCACTTTCCCCCTGCCACACAAGCAACGTCTGACAAGGCCACGTCTACTCTCGTGGCTCGCAGACTATACATACATCAGATCCTCATGGTGGTTGAGATGTTTGTGGTTTTCTGGGATAATGCTGTGTGGTCTTGTAAGTGTAAATGTTTTGGAGGGACATACCACCTCCATCTCCAGTGAACATGGAGGTAATACATTCCTCTGAAATAACATTATAAGGTATTTAAGGTAACAAAATCACAATACTTTTCCACAATTGACTTACAATACATGTCTTTCTTGTCTTCAGGGGGGGGAAAGCTCCTTTGTGATTTCTTCTATACTGAATCCACACTGGCTCATTACCATAAGTTTCTTTGTATGCTGAAAGAACAATACAGTGTTTGTATGGTCAGTATGAAAACTGCAGTTTTATCACAACAGAGAAAAAGAGCTCCATCCTTTTAGTGAAAAATATATAAAAACAAATTTCCACATCTGGCTGCCCCAACCATTTTACACAAGTAATTGGTTTTGATTCCATTTATCACATTTACAATATAAGTTCTGTGGTGTTCATTACCTTTACTATGCAAAATTCTTTCCTCACACTTGATATTACAACACACACCTAATTAATAACACAGTATAAGTTAAGGAAAGTAATAATTTTCCCTGTTCTTTCAAATATTAAGTAAAATGAAAGATGTACTTATTTACAAAGCTTGCGTTTAAAGAGATGATTGAAAGAACACTTGAATGTCTTCTGTTACTGGTAACTATACCTCAATCACTAGGCAGCTAAACATGAATTTAGTGAATAAGACCATACTATGGCAAAAATGGAAATTGCTCTGAAAACCCTTCACTATTAATATTGCTTTGAATAAAGTTCCTAACTCTTTAAATGCAGTTTTATTTATATACTTGGCAAACATAAAAAAACACTTTTTGGATTTAATACTCCCAATAAAACAAAACCTTTTATGTGTATCTTTCAGATTTCTAATACATACCTTCGCTTCTCAGATATCTGATACTAGTTTCTGCAGGAACAACAGTGGTACTATCTATTGAGGGATCATGCTTTTTGTTGTTGTCATCTTTGACTTCCACTTCTGATTCTGGTTTACAAAATGATGGGACACCAACTGTTAATGGACGAATGAACAGGTCCTGCAATATACAATATACATTACAAGTCCACATGACATTATAAAGTATCTGCATGTTGGCCACATGCCTGTCATCTGTTATGTATTTGGGTGGCCTTCAATACCCCAATATATGCTGCAATATTATTACAATAACAGCAATTTTCTACAAATCAGAGAGTTGTAGTAGGTACTTACATATTGGTCATAGACCTGTGCTCATAAGTCAAATTGTTCGGAAACCACCTGAAACCCCTGTAAAATGTACTTCTACATTTAGTCTATTTATGTAATATATATTCACATGAATGGACAAGCAGTAAGTATGAAGGCATGCTTTTCTAAAAGTTTGGACAGGTGAGAGAATGAGTCTTTACTATAACTACTTACTTCAAAAGAAGTGTGACAGACTATGCCCACTTCATATTTAAAAAAATGCTGGATTTTGATCAGTATATTGTGGGAAAACACTAAATTTCTAAAATCGTCAGTTCTCAGTTTAATAACATCTCCATCAATTTAAATCATAGAATATAAGAGAATTTATTTACATTCCATAGATCCTTCATAGGCCTAAGCCAAGGATGTACAACAGGTCATAGCACAAATACAATACTTGTTTCTAGTACAAATATAAATACATAGTTACAACAGCTATTTACAGACTTTTGGGACCACAGTATTACAGCAAAATAATTATAATGAGAAACCATCACAGTTGTTACATGTATTTATAAATTCTACTGAGTAGAAGTGAGATAGGAGATACTCTTTTTAAGCTGGCTTAAACATTTTTATAGCATTATTTAAACTTTTGACAGTAGGTGGAAGATTATTGAATAACATAATTCCTGTATAGTAAACTCCTTTTTGATATTTACTGAGGTTAGAATTTGGCACATGAAGGTTGTATCTGTATCTTGTTCTTATATTGTGGATATCTGAATTTGCTTGAATTTTTTCCATATTATCCACTGTAAATTATAATAGTAAGAGCAAGAATTCGCTGGCTAGTGGAAGAATATTAAACTTCTTAAATAATTCCCTACAAGAGGCTCTCCTTTTAGTGCCTGCCATTATTCTAATGATTTTCTTTTGAATGTAAACTACTTTTTTGATGTCTGTTGAATTTAAACAGAAAATTATTCCATATGAGATGATGGAATGGAAGTAAGCAAAATAAATTAATTTTAAACTTTCTTTTTTCATGAGTGCTGCAACTGCCCTCATGGCTAAACATGCCAAGCTAAGTTTGGGGATAATGTATTGAACATGTGCTTTCCAATTTAATTTGTTGTCAATTTGTAGGCCAAGAAATTTAGTTGTTTCTAACAACCTTACAATATAGTGACAATGTATTACATACTAGACCTATCACAATTCTAACCTACCGAATATCCTCGAATTGTCTCTGGATTTTTGTTTTTACAGTTCCTACCAGTAGCCATGACAAACCCACTCCTTAACTAGCACAAACGGCCACTGCATTGTCCTCTACCAAAGCAAATGTTAGTACTTTAAAATTGGACATCCTTTTTGGGTCACCAAGCATAATAAATTTGACCGAACTATGCACGCTTCTCCGAAAACTATTTCATATGACAAAACAGTCGATACCAATCGTAACAGCACAGAACGTGATCGATATTATGCCTCTCCTACATTACGCATTTGGAATAAATATCTGAAATCATGTTTACCTTGCACGAAACGCTATCAACTGGCCACTTGCAGATACATACTTTTTCCGGTCGGAACTTGCAGTAATTCGCAACCAACCTCGAATAAAACAACAAGGCCATATTGTATCAAGAATGTTCAAGAATATTTCACTCCACCTGAAGGATTGTGGTTATAGTGGGTCACCTGAAATCAAATGAATTTGTGAATGTACAAAGGTAAACTTTGCAACATTATTCCAAACCAAATCCATATAGCATGAAAATTTATTTTTGGTGTAATATACAGACAAGAGGAAACATTTATCTTAAATCATACAGTAAAATCTACTGTTCGGAGATATTTTGTTCATAAAACGGACCGGAACTTCATTTCTTTTGTAGAGTGGAGGGGGTCGACTTTGTACGATGGATGTGCGTCCAAGGGTTATAGTGACGTAAGATCCCCTATACCCAATTTTATATGGTTTTATTTATCGTAGGTAAGTGTGTTATTATAGCGCTTCATGTCACGTAAGCGTATGTATTATCAAACAAAGTATTTATATAATTGTTACATACTATTTACAGATGTGTTGTTTATTTTCTGATGCGTAATCAGAAATAGGATTCATGAGGATTTGTATTTTCACAAGCAACCCAACGAGAGTGCTTTCTCATTCCGTGTAGATTGTCTTCAGCATATTTTATTGCCGAATAATTTGTATTTTAATTTATGAGCAGTTTATTAGATTGATGTAAGTGGCTCATGGAACGGCCAATATAATGTCAGTTATGTATATGAATATGAAAATGTTAACGTAGTCTATTGATTTGCGTTAATGGACTAGTAGGTGGGGGAATTTGGGCTATAATATATTTCCAAGTAAATTAAAAATATTTTTAAAACAAAACAAGTTTGTAAATTATTTTACTATTTTAATTTTTAGAAGTGAATTTATGTTTATATGTATCTTAAGTTTTGTCTCGTTTTTGTGTGACGTAGTAGGGTGGGGTCTGCTCAGAAGCTTTGCGCATAGTTTGCCAGCTCACCGTGCATAAGAAAGCGGTCTTTTGTTCGCGTTGGATGCTGCGTGTTTCTTTATATGCCACAATAATTTTGTATTTTAAAACTATGGTCTGAACGTTATGGACAAATGCTGATATATGTTTGTTTATTGGTAGAGGAAGATTTACGAAATCTGATTTCCTTTTTGAGTACATACAATGGCTTAATAAGGACCCTACAAGCAGGATCCGTTTGTTTCCTTAAACTGGATTTAAGTACGTTTAAGAACTAAACAGTAATGCATAATTGTTTTGTGTATAAAGTAGTGATTGTGGTATTAGTGTAAGGATATTTCGCTTTGTGTAGCTGCTGTGGATGAGCTAAGTCATCGTCAGTCTTCCCGTGTTGGAAGCTAATGCGTAACTTCTGTGGTTTCAGATTCTGAACAGTTAAAAATATGAGTATTTCATGAAGAATCGTGACTTAATGTGAGTCGTGCGAGGTAATTCTCTACAATGGTAAGTATATTATGTCCATACAGAAATTCAAAATGGCTACCAAGGTTAAATGAAGGATATTACGTCTTTTCAGGTTCCGACATTTTTCGGTATGGATCTGTTGTAGATAGTGAATTTATGAGACTGTTGGAACTTCATTTTTTCCAGAGCACTGCGTTTATATGGATGTTCCATGTGTCTCGATATGTAGTAACAGTCGGCATTTAACATATTGAATTGTGTAGCAATATGGTTGCCAGCGTCATCCATAAATTCACACCATAGTAGTTGCAAATAACTGTACAAAGAAGTTACCGTTAGTAAGAGTCGCTTGTGCGTTTTATTGGATTACGTGCAATATTGGAATTAAAAATGGCCATATAGTGTTGCTCTCTGGTGTTGAATTCCCGGAACATGTTTGTTCTGGTTGGTACAGGAATAGGTAGTTAATGTACTAAATAAAATACCAGAACTTTCATTTTGAGGGCATAATCGTTTGGCGTACGAAGAACGCTTAATGGGCCCGTTCATGGCCGTTGCTCCGCCATTTATCGGCGTTATGAACTATAAAACAACGTGAATGGATGTACCTTTTGTTGCAGATAATTTTTTTATTTTATTGATTTTACCAACGCGACTGATTCGTATAGAAATGATACGAATATCCTATTCTCTGCGCACGCGTGTTGTTGGCCGTGAAGGTCGTCTCTGTTCATATCGTGCTTGAAAGAATTATGGTGGTAGGACTGATTTTCATTAATGTTGGTATTCGCGACTCGACTTCGGGCTGTTGTGCAATAGAAGAAGAACCTCTACGTGGCCGATGCGAAAAGTGCAGTGATGGCTTCTCCCATTATTGTAATGCGCATGAGTGAATCATCGGCTCCAGAATAATAATTTTCCGCATAACGTTTTTACCCGCAGCACAGCTTGAGTTTATCAAAGTCACTTGATGGCACATCACAAAATTTCACCTACAATGGAGGTACAAGGTAAAACAGTACAGGAAAACGTTGAGGACTATTTTCAGATGAAATCACCACTGCTATGGAAAAAGGTAGACGTTCCGTGAGTTAGAGTCAAACACTTGCTGTCTCTGGAAATAATTTCATCTTTCCTTACCACACATTTCTTTTTTTTACAAGATTCTGCCCAGTCCTCCAATCAGGACCATCAAATATAACTTGCCACTGGCAACCTGCCTTCTATGAGATCTGTAGAGCTCACCCCACACACATTCACCTTTAAGATGGTAACTGCAGTGTTTGCTGTTACGTTTGTGAAGGTAGCATTCGTTGCAGCTCACAACCATAAGCCAAGAATACCTATTGACAGTTGTGTAAAAGTAGTACAGAATGATTAACCAATCAAACTTTTTTGTTCTGCCTGGTAAGTACAGAATGATTAACCAATCAAAACTTTATTGTTCTGCCTGGTAAGACAATTAAAAAGTTTAATTAAATGGCAAGAAAATCTTTCATAATTGAAATAGGCAATTCCAAACAAGGCCATGAAGATTTTTATAGTGAATCATATTTCTCAAGTTGTAGACATATTTCTTATTGCATACGTGTGGGAAAAGAATTTTATTTGGTTTTTAAGATGTCTTTTGCCTTGTGTTAATAATTTCATTATGTTGCCCAAAACATAGCAGGAATAAGACAAACCCAGTAAGCTCATATTCTGGTAGCAGTAACTGTTTGTCATCATTTGTATGATTTCTGTTTGTTAAGGCTATTACCATATATATTAGGTTTCTTTTTCAATTGGTATGTTTAAACATCTATCACACTACACGGCGCAACAACCGAGAAGACAGCCATCTTAGTACTCACCGCAGTGAGAACCTAAAATCCTACATTTTTTATTTAATTAAAAGTAAAGTAAAGCTGTTCCGCTATACCCCCGGGAAAGGACCCCGGTACTCCTTGGATACGAGGCTGGTTGGGCCCCAGAGCCGGTCTGGACGCAGAGGCTCGAGGAAAAATCCTCTGCCCCCGTCGGGGTCGAACCCCGGTCGTCCAGCCCGTAGCTAGTCACTATACTGACTGAGCTATCCCAGCTCATATTGGTATGTTAGTTACTGGTTTTAGTACTGTGTTATTTACATAATCCATTTTACTGTATTTGCTGGTTTTAATACATTTCTGGCATAAGATTGTACCAGAGCATGGACATAAAGAGATTATTTGTTGTGTAAAGATGGTAATAAATATACAAATTTCAGGCACTTGTTGAAAATGGACTGTATGGTTCTCTATTGAAGATTGTTCAGTACCTATTAAGAGACTAGAGCTTCATGCGAAGTTTGAACTGTACAACCTTGTCATAGATACCACATTCATGTGACTCACACTTGTAGATGTTTTATTTAGATAATATACAAGTAATGGAAGTCATCCAGTACAAAGAGTTTCAACAGTCTAGATCTAATTGGATATGAATGAATTATTAAAATGGATTGTAAACTGTAAGCATTGCATAAACTTTATATCTAAGTATCAGAATTACGAAATTGAGCATTATAATTATGGGACATCTTGCATTGTAAGATACATTTCACCTTGGGTGCCATTTTATAACAGCATTTTTATTTTAATTGCAGTTGCTATGTACAGTATTACAATTATGTTTTTTTATTAGTTTACTACAACCAAGGTTTTATAAATATGTTTGCCCACTTTTTCTGTGATCAGTTTATATTGGTAAATATTAAAAAAATATTAATATGAAGCATATTGTAAGATCATAACTACTTTACAGACTCTTGCTTAATGTTCAGCTGGTTTGTAAAATATATCTAATGTCCATGAATGTTTCCTGTTTTTAAATATTTTCCTAATTTCCTGTTACGCCTGAAATTGAATTACTGGAATCAAATGTGAAAGTTTGTTTGAAGCAGAATTTTGGTATTTAATTATATTTGAGCATGGTTTCAGTTGCTCAGGCTGTTGCATCAAATGAGAGGATGGTAGTGAAAAGTGAATTGGAAAGAATGCTGAAGGAAGTTGCCATGGCCTAATTTGATCTATTATCCTAGAATTTGCCTGGAGGGACTAAGGAAAACTATGCTTGGCCCTGTTTCCCTGATATAAATTTTTAATATTGCACACATATTTATCCTTGGTTTTACAAGAGGTTTCTTTCCTGCACTCATCCAACAAGAATTTTACATTCATTTATCTCTCCATACATGCTATGTGTCTTCTCACTCACCATGATGTAATTATCCAAGATAGCAGATAGGGAGGCAAAATATTTTGAGCTGCGTGGGTGTTTGGTCATTGATACAGAACAAGTTATTGATATTCAATTTATGCTTGGATCATTCTGCACTATGGAAATGGATATATACATAAATATTTCATAAAATTTGCTTCTGTTTGTGTATATCTTTACTGCACCAATTTTATTTCCTCCTTCCTCTGCTTTCCTTCATCCTAGGCAATGAAGTAATATAGGTATGTCTTGTTTCCTTCCCTATGTCTATCTTCAATAAAATCCTATCGGGCAACAAGCTGTGTTACTCTGGACAAAAGCCTTTGGAGACCTCCTCTGCCTCCATCAACAGTAGAATGGTCTTCTGTCCAGAACTGAACACAGCTTGTTGCCTAAGAGGATTATATTGAGTTCGGTCACCATGAAAGCTTTGTCCTATATGTATTAACTTGCATCCACAGTGCAGGTAGAGCTGCAGAAAATACCACATAGTTCACATTTATAGCACATTTTAAGAACTTTTGAATGTTGCCCATAACCATGTACCTGTTACGCAGTTCTGTCATTCTTCTTGTAGTATTCTAAATTCTTTGGGATGCATTTTATTTGTTTCCTTTTCAGACTTTTATTATCTTCAGTATCTGCTTACACACTTCTGCTGATAAAGAAAGTAATGATTATTATGGATCATGGTTATATTCCACATGTGTTTTTATTGAACTGTTATCTTTGTAGGTACTCCATTTCAGGTTTAATGATTATGGTGATTTATCTTACAACTTTAACAGTACATATCAGTAGATGCTTTCTCTTTAGTATAATTTTCATGAATACAATAGAATTTAAATGTCAAAATATGTCACATGATCAGCTTCTGAAAGTGTCGGTATTTTATACTGATAATAATCCTTATGCATGGTTTTCCACCTTACCTTTGTTTGTAGGTACTTTGAATTTCTCAATTTAAGTTTGTATTAGAACACTTGCTCTCTGAAGATTTGGCAGGAACAGCAAAAAGTAAAGCAGTCCCGCTTGTGGAGAGGTGGCATAGCTCGTACTCATTCTTTACCTTGGCACGAGAATACATACATTTGTATTAATTTAAGCGGAATTTTCCTAAAATCTTGAGGAAACAAATTTGTGAATATATGATATTTCTAGTGTAATTGAACGTGTGGGGAAATGAAAAGGGCACGTCACATTAGCAAACTTTTGACAAAATGGAAGAAACTGTTTATGTTTCAGAGAATTAAAAAATTGTGTAAAACACTGAAGCCATAATTAGCAATATCAATATTTGAATTCTGTAACTATGACTTTTGTGTTAATAGTCTTGTGCGTGATATATATTATTGTTTTTAAGTATGCCCTTTTCACACTTTCTGCAAATGTAAGTGGTTGAGAGGGAAGATTATTTCTCATTATGACAGTGAACAAGTTTTTAATTTACATTTCAGATCGCTATAAGTGTAAAAGTCTTAATTGATTGTGTTCAGTGTTCTTCATAGCCTCTTTTATGTTATATTTTTCATGTTTATTAGGCTGTTGCCATTTGGGAAGTAGTTTTTATTTGGGATAGAGAGAAACCTGGAATTGTTATGATGAAGCCGTCCATAAAATCTGTGATGATGATCTTAAAGAGCTGTATTCACACATGTAATATTGTGAAATCAAAAAATTAACTTTTTGGGCTCTAGAAGCAGCTTTGCCATAGGACTGTGCTTTGTAGGATTTTGGCCACCACTGTGCTGAAGTTGTTGCACATGTTTTGAAAACACCCTCTTTCTACTTTATTGCTCATTCATACTTTAATATTCTTACCCTATTTATTTATGCAGAACTGTTTTAGTGAGTCCAAAGTGTCTGTCACATGATGTAAGAGTGTTGGACATGAAAGTATTGAAGTATTTTGTTGAACCTCCCATTAGCAATTGATATTGCAAAGAATCTAGCAGCAATGTGGTTTTTGTTCTGACCAGGACAGATGTCTAAAAAAATTAGTTTATTGAGAGTTTGATATGTGGTTTTTGATGCAATCCAATAATAAGGAACATATTTCATTGGGTTCTGCCTTACCTTGCCCTTCATTAATAAAAATGGTATTTTTAGGGTATTTACTACTCCAAATGAAATGTATATACCCAGAGGTGATGAAAGTAAACTCTTATGCTGATATGTGTGGGAGCTGTAGGTATTGCATGAAATTCAACAAATTCTGAACTGCATGAATTTTTAGCGTGCTAAAGCTAAGGATGATAGTAGGTGGTTTGTTGTTAATATATGCACTTACAGAACAATTATAAAAATTGTCATTTTGAAGAAATACTGACGTCCTTTTCATTCCCACACATTCAATTTTACTTAAGTATTATTTTGTCTCAATTTATTTGGGGATGGAAAGGGGAGAAAAATTGAGGCTTCTGAAAGTATAGTAATTGCAGTCATTTCTACTTTTTGTGGTAGATATTCCGTGATATGGTTTTGTGAGTTTATAATTTTCCATAATAGAGTTTAACCTCAAATGATGAGAGTTATAGACATTTATGTAAAATGTTAATTTAGTTGTGTCTAATGTTAATATTTTTGACACATTGTATCACTCACTGGCCATCAACACCATGCTGTTGTGAACTAAAACAACATAAATGAAGAAGTGATGACATATTCAACTGCTTTAAACCAAAATTTATTTAACTATAGACATCAGTATTGAAGGCATTACTAATTGGCCAGTTCTTGTTTTCAGTTTTCAGCTCTCACATTTTAAGTGGATTTATTAGCTGTTCTTGTATCATGATTTTGGCCAGAATTCTCTTGATGAGATATGAACATGTTGGTTTTCTTTATCTTTACTTTTAGAACTTGATGGTTTCTAGGTTTTCTCTGTGACATTTATGTTGTTGCCCAACTAAAATGGCATCAACCTAGATCACAAGGTAATATATTTTACTCAGTTCTAGTCTCCTTATTTTTAACTGAAGTCATATTGTCTCTGCTTTTGATTATTATGTGTGATAATGAGCCTTTTTTTTCACTTAAACACATTTTAACTCTGCTAGTTTCATAGGTAAAGCAAATTACCATGGTGCCCATGCAAAATATTTTAGATTTATGGTGATCACCACAGCTTTTCTTGACATGTGATATTCTAAGTTTTGTTAAAAATCCTAAAGTAAATATGATTCAGTACATCTTCAGGAAGGATATTTATCAGTTGTGCTATGGCACTTCCTTTCTACATGTCAGTTTGCCAGAAGTTACTGGAAGTTTACAATAATGATAAAAAGGTAGTATGCTTCCTTGTGGTGCAGTTATTCTGTTCAGGGTTCCCCTTGTGTTGAATGTGGATAAGTTTACACTATAACATTGGGTATTCTTGTATACATGTTATCTTGTCACTGGCACGTTAATAGACGAAAAACTGAAACGGTTAAGTATTAACTGAAGAGAAGTTTGACAGTATTGGAGCTCATCTTGATATTCACCTTATAAGCTTAAGTGCCTTACACAAGAAATAGGAGTATCAGAAGAGATTGCAGGAACCACTACAAAATTATTGAAATTATAGCCTTATAAAATCACAGTTGTGCACTCTTTGCAGCCATGTGATCCAGTAACCAGACCTATTTTTGTAACTGATATGTTAAATCAGTTGATGACAATGGACTTCAGCCCATGTTGACCTTATTTCTGTCAGATATGGCTTGGTTTTATTTGAATTGATATGGAAAAAACTAAATAATATGTACCTGGCCACAGAAAGTTCATATCTTTCACACAGAATTCTGTTAGTACTGTTTTCCTTTCATCATGGCAGGCTTGCAGCAACTTCTGGCAGCTGATGTGACCACACAGTAGAAAGGCTGAGCTGGAACACAGCTGCCAAATATCCACACTGCATACTATAATGTTCCATCCAAATTTAAATATTAAACTATTTGTATGGTGAAAGGATACAGCAACCAAAATGTAACAGAAGATTGTTGAAGTAAAGGAAGCAGTCTGTTTCAAAGAGTGATTCTGTACAAGATTTAAATAAATTAGATAACACGTTTATTTATGTTTACAAATGTTGGCTGTGATGTGACTTCTGAAAAGGATCATTACATAGATCGGAAGGTTAAAAAATTTTGAGGCTATTCGTGGCACAACCTATCTTACTGTATGATAGTGAAGCATAAACAATTACAATCAAAGAAATAAGCAAATTACAAGCAGCAGAAATGCATAACATAAGGCCAATCAAATCAGTACAAGGCAAGAATGTTTCATAAATGAAGACATTAGAAATGAATTGGGCATAGAGCCAGTAATGCAGCAAATGATAAAATACAGAGAAATGTGGAAATCACACGAAGAACTAATGCTAGAGGAAAGAGTACCAAAGCAAATCTTGGTTTGCTGGTCCCTGGAAATTATGGAGGGCAAACTACAGACCAGAACAGACAATGTGCTAATCCATAAAGAGGAAGAAGTGATAATTCTGTTAAAAGATTTACATAAAATGAGTGATGTGTAAGATTCCACATATCACATTTGAGCATTGTAGGTTGAAGGACATCTATCCACTTCCATATTACTTGTAAATAACTTCTATTGACTGCAAATACATGTTTACAGTAATTATTTAGGCCAATTGTAATGAATATTTTCTTTCATTGTACTCTTAACAGCATTACTAGGACTAATTGAATTCAACAGGCGTCTTTTATGTGTTCATTTTCAGGAGGAAATGAGTAGGCTTGTAAGGTCACTGTATTGTCTGTGTTTATGGCCCTTTTTTACCCACTTCTAAACCACTTGTGCTATTTTCATGTAAATTTGGTATGAACATTGTACCATTGGAGGTCACACCCACCTCATATTAATTCCTTACAACCAGTAATGACAGATAAAACAGACATACTTGTGAAGTAAGAGTGATACTGGCTTCTAATCTAGAGTCCTGAAGTGGTGTATGGCAGTGTTCTTAAAACGATATGTAACTGTTCAGGTAATTTAAAATTATAAGCATGATAACAGTGCAAATAACTGTTTTAATATGACAATCTGTATTTAAGTAATAAATGTTCCCAGAAAGAAAATTGCTGCTTACAGCAATAATCTATAATATATTTCAATAAGTAAAATGAACTCTTGGTGCCAAGCAGTAACACGAAGATAAAATATTCACAGTACTGGAAGTCGGTGTAGTAGAAACGTAATCATTCATAAGTTCTGCAACAGTTTTGTTTGATGAATGATGACCTTTGAAAGGAAATTTAACAAGTTGGAAATTTCAGAATAATAATATTATATTAGGTGTGGGTAGTGCATCAGTGTTTTACTTGCATTTGATGGTAATGCTTATTTTTGTACTCTTCTGGTAGAAGGTCCTTTTTTGACTAGGGCATTTATTCACCATTAAGCTGTACTGGTAACCTATTTGCCAGTTTTAGCAAATGATTACACTTTCAGAAAAGTTGCAGCCATAATGGTGACATGTAATACCATCATATGATATCCAGATGGATCAGAGGGTTATTTCTTTTGATGAGGTTGCTCATGCGGTAAAGAAAATGCTTTTCTCTGGGAATATTTATGGTGCAAGAAGTTTATAAGTGATAGTGAAGTAACTTTCAGGATCAGATGATTGCTTTTAATTTCAGATTGATGGTGTGTAAATAGGGAACACTGATCTCTGTGATGATTTGAATTCATTACCACAGATTCAGTGTCTGCCGCTTGAACACCATTCACTTTACTTATCCACCCTGGCCAAACATGTATGCAGGATATAATATGTATTATTTACTGATGCAAAGATAACATTAGAAAGTTGTAATGGGTTAATTTAAATACAGATTCAAAATATTCAATTTAAAATGTATATGAGGAGAAACTAAATTTATTGTAATTTAGGAGGGTATAACATACATACAAAAAAACTCATACAAATAGATAATAAGTCTACCTGGATTTGCTAGAGTGAATGATACATTTTCACATGTGAAGACCAGGTGTCCAGTGCACCCAGCTGCAAACTTTATCTAAGTTAAAATAATTAGGTAGGTGATTGGCTCTATTTCAAGTTAACCCTCCTGGTTGGACACCTGTATGGTGTTATCTAAGGAGACAGTGGTTTTGCCAGAAATGTCCAAAACTGTGCATGTCATTTTCAGCAGTAACACACATAGCTGAAGGCCTTGTTGGCACATTAATACCACCAGTGTCCATTATGGAATGACTATTGATTTTGCCCTTGAAAACATTGATAAGAAATGAAGCATTTTGTTGTCATCAGAGATAGTGTTCCAAAATTTAAATGGCACACTACTAAGTCATTATGCAAAGTATCAAACCGAAAAAAATAGAAGAAGCAAATTGTTGAATTTCCTTTGTTTTATTGAAGTTGGTCAATGTAAGATATTTCCATGTGGCAGAGGCAAGCTGTAGCTTTGACTTAATTAAATCAATATATATAAACTAAGCTATCAAATGAAGGGAAATTAAAATGTATACTGTTGGTCTTTTATGTGAAAGGTATATAATTTTAGTTTTGGGGGATGTAAAGTTTTGTAGTTTTTACTACTAATCAATGCCTGCTTGTCTCCTTGTCAAATGTTCTGTAATTTGAAGGTCTGCTGTTTGGTAGGAACAGATTTATGGTTAACATTGGTTTACTGTTGTTGAAGGGAAGAAAATGGGAGTGCAAAAGGACAATACATGGACTTAAAGAATTGCATGATGATGAGCTTCTCAGACTGTGTTCCTACCTGATATTGTTGGTGTGATTAAATTGAGGAGAATGAAGTGAGTGGGTAACTCAATCAGTATAGTGACTGACTACGGACTGGGCGATCGAGGTTCGATTCCCGATAGGGGCAGAGGATTTTTCGTCTAGCCTCTGGGGCCCATCCAGCCTCCTATCCAATGGGTACCGGGGTCCTTTCCCAGTTGTAAAGCATGGCCAGGTCATGACACTGACCACTCACCTCCATCTAGTGCTGAGGTTAAGAATTAGTTTACCTCACTTTCTGAGGTGGGTGAGACATGTGACATGCATGGAAGAGGGGAGGGGTGTTTATTGAGTATTGGTTGGGAGGCCAGTAGGGAGACTTCAGTATGGATGGGAGGGTAACGTTAACATGAATCTTAAGGGGGTGGGAATCGATGGAGTGAAGTGGATGCAGCTAGCTCAGGATAGAGTCCGGTGACAGGCTTTTGTGAACACTATGATGAACCGATTGGTTCCATAAAGAAAGTAGGCTATTCTTTGACAAGCTGTGTGACAACTTTTCAAAGAATATTGGTGTTCAGTTCCTGTGCAATCATATCAGTATTCTGAGCCACTCGCCACATTTCTGTTGTTTCTGAAGGTTTTGAACAGCTGGATCATTCATCTTGTATGCCTTCTTGAAATATGTTGTCTCCTCACAAAAACCTGTGCTGTACATCTGTTTTTGCCTCCAAGAATTGTTTTCTAAATGCTATATGGCATTTTGACCTGTCTTATTAAAAATTTAGTGATGCCCCTCTTCAAAATATTAGATCCCTTTTTGACAGTTGACCAAAACACAAATTCAGTAAACACTGCTATTGCAAAAGAGGCTGAATCAAAATACTGTTGCTTAAAGCTCCACAGTTACATACTAACAGTATTGCCTGATTTGTTCAGTCATCCTGATACAAGCTTAAGCAAATTAAGAACCCTGTGTTCTGGGTTTCACTAAACTTAGTTCTTGTTTTCTGAATGAGAGTAATTTCTGTTTGTTATCCCTAATAATTTTGAAGTAATGTTGGATAAGTAAGGTTAGGTGCTAAGAGTACTGTATTAAACTTTCCCCTCCTCTCATGGCTACATTCACTTCTTCTTCTTCTATGGCTCTCCGGACCGTATTTGGTCCATGGCCTCCTCAATTCTCCTCATCCATTTGGTCCTATTGTTAGGTCCATTCTGTCTGAGGCTTTGATTGAGGTTTTGAAACATCTTCCTTTTTAAGGTGCAAGGTTGTTTGCCTTGCGACCACCCCCCAACCTGGAGGACCAGGGTACCTGTCTTAGTCTGACCTCTCCCCCTCGACCAATCTGGCTAGGGAGGCCCTACCAGTAGCTATGCTACCACCAGCATAGCTCTTGGGGTCACTGAGGTACTCAAGCCCCACCACCACGACAAGGTGCATGTACCATTAAGTGGGGTGGCTACAGGCACAGTGTGGTTGTGGTGTTTATCAATGAAAATTGTGTATTATTGTGGAAAAATGCAGAAGACTACTTATCAATGTGACCCTGTCTCTACCTTTGAATTTTTTAATTTTTGACTAATACCAGCATAGTGGATCTTTGAATTGTGAGGTGGGAGCAAAACTGTTGCCACTTGGTGTAGGCCCTGAAATGTGTGATTGTAGATATTTGTAACCTCCGCTATTTTTAAGGGTATATATATCTATAAAATTTGAACATTGGAGCCATGCATGAGCTACATCTATCTTTTGCAGTTGGAGCTTGAGAAACAAAATTGTTCGTGGAAATAGATTATAAACGTGATACTTCTACATGTGTGTTAATTAGTTTGGTTAGTGCTGAAACTCTGATGTTATGTGACAAAGTAGGCAGTATCTATGCTAGTGGGAATTATGTTCATAAGTTGATCATAAATTGTTTAATTATTGATTTATAGTTCCTGTTGTCTTCATTATATATGGTTGGTAGATAACATTTGAAGGAAAGTAGACACAATAAATTATTCCCATACTTCCTTTAAAATTGTATGAGATTTAAAAAAAAAGTAAAGCTGTCCTGTTGTATGCTACATGTAGGTACCTGTGAGGAGAAGAGGTATAGCTCCTACTCATTCTTAACCTTGGCACTAAGTAGGGGTGGGTGTTGAGCATCACGCCATGGCTGCTCTTTACTCCTGGGAAAAGACCTCGGTACCCATTTGAATTGTATTGCTTAGCACTGTCTAAAAATGTGAGTCACATTTGAAACTGAGAAGACAGGTGGGAAATAAAATGACAGAATAATTTAGCTTGAAAAATAATTGAGCGTGCACTATGCAGATGACATAGTTACACGGGAATCAAATGAAGATGCTTCAGGGGTTAGTTACAGTGTGTAATAATATTTTATTACATATCAGTTTATACGAATAAGATGGTGTGGATGTGTTTCAAGAATGAACAAAGAGAATGTCAGGAAAGTTTTAAACATAAAATTAAAAGGAAAATGCCAAAGAGGGAGGCTGAGATCATGATGGGAACACCAGGTTAGGAAAGCTGTCGTGGATTGAAGAATGTAGATAAGTTGTGGAAAGAGGGAGCATAGTTGTAAGATCAGCCACATAAATTAGAAGTGAAATGATCAATAAAACTACATTATGCAGTATAACCAATTTTTTTTTAACTTTGTGGGGGGTAGTTACCATTAAGTGCCACAGCCCCACACATTACAGCTTTATCCTGTTTTGTGAAAATAGCTAGTGGTCTTTTTATGTCTATATATGATGTATTATACATCTAATAAATAAATATGAGTACTTGGAAATTACTATTTTTTTGTGTGAACTGGTTTCATCTGGTTCAGGATAGTGGGAGTGGTAATGAAACTTCTCGTTCCATATAAAGCAGGAATTTGATTAGCTGTGTAAATGTCAGCCTGTCAGCTTCATGAGTTAGTCATTCATATATTAAAGTAAGTAGTAAACTGTAGATCAAGAAATGTTACCTGGGCAGTTTTGTGGTCTTTAAGTATTTTTTATGTTGCTTTGTGGCAGGGGGTAACACTGCTAAAATGGACTTACGAAAATTGCCTCATTGTTACATAACAAGTGCTTGCCAACTTTGTTCCATATTGAAACAAAGGAAATCGCATAACCTACCTACACATATCCTTCATTTGCATGTTCACCTGCTGTAAATTCAATTTCATGTCATTTTGACGGAAATACATCTATACAGAAGGGTAATTCGGCAAAAGTGAAAGGAAAACGTGTAGTGTAGAGTAGAGTAGAGTTTATTTACATTCCATAGGTAATTCTTAAGACTCAACCAAAGGATGTATAACATGTCATTTCATACAATATACATACACTTCAGAACTTTCAACACAAGTACAAGAATGTATTTCACATATCAATGTACATAAATTTCAGATTCTGCAATACAAGTATGAAAAGTAATTTTACAAATTAATATACATAAACCTCAGAATTTTAAATATAAATACAAAACTTGCTTTATATATACGTAGATTATGGATATAAAGCTTAAACATTTTCAGCAGAGATGAAATCATCTACAGAATAGGAGTGAGTAAAGAGGTAATCTTTCAATGCATGCTTGAATACCTTTATATCATAATTTAGACTTTTAATTGTTGGTGGAAGATTATTAAATAACTTGATACCTGTATAGTACACTCCTTTATGATATTTAGTAAAGTTAGCATTTGGCACATAGAGATCATGTTTACGTCTTGTATTTAAATTATGTACATCTGTATTTCTTTTAAATTTATCCATGTTTTCCACCACAAATGATAGCAAGCAGAGTATAAATTCATTTGCAAGTGGAAGTATATTAAATTTACGAAATCATTTTCTACAAGATACCCTGCTTTTGACATATCCATATCAACAATATGTAAATATGGACCGACAACAATGGTCAGCTTTTATATGAACTGCGTGCATTGTTATGTTACCTAAGAAACTAATTGTTATGTCATCTGTTTATTCGGCATTGTTGTGCTTCATTACTGCCGTCAACAATCCGCTTTCGTTATTGCGGAAAGAGCTGAGCTGTGAATCGCTGTAGAAGAAGTGTGTCGTAGACTTGATAACTTTATGCTGGTAAAAACTTTTAGAATATCACAAGTACTTATCTTATATAAGAATTATTACATTACATTACAGAGACGTATTTACAAAAGAATCTCTGGAACCGTGGTTCCACTGTCAACTTTTTATGTTCATTTACTGAATCTAATGCATCCATGTTGAACTGTTGGTAGCTTTGGTATTTGTCTCCAGGTTAAATTGTGAACCATTTTTTAAGAATCTATTACAGCAAGATCCTAATTATCCATGCATGACCCCAATAAATGCAGGCATGTGTGACATAGGCTGTAGACATCTTTCCTGCTTGCATTGAGGTAGAGGTTGGCTGGTTGGTTTCAGGGGTATCTTACAGGAGATACATATTTAAATCACTGAAATATCTGTCCTTTTTTAAAATTTTAATTTTTGAGTTTGCAGATCAATTTTTCTAATTAAGTTTACCAGATGTTCTAAATGTTTTGAGCAGTTACCTAGTATAAACATTTTTCCATTGTTTGGACATAGCATTCTGACCACCAGCTGTTGCCAGGGTTCAGGTATAAGTAGCCCATTAAATAATGCTATTTCTTATCTTTAGACACAAGCATATTAGAAGCAGAATCTGTAATTATAAGATTATCTTATTTTGTGGCATTATATGTTCAAGATTTAATGACAATTTCAACAGCATGAGACTTCCAGTATCATTAATTTTTTGGTGATATGTATAATTGACACTTGGTTAGGTGTTCATTTCCTTGTCATATTTTGACTTATTGAACAAAGTTTCTTCGTGAATTTTTAATTAAATTCATTTGTAGAACAGAGAATGGATTTTCTTTGGTGGTTGTGTTATTGTCATTATGATGCTACTGCACACAGTTTGTAAGAACCAAAATGTTAACCATTGCCATAAAATTCTATACACTGTTATGTCGGTGGCATGCCTGACATTTAGGCTGGAACCACACAGCAGATAAGACAAGATTGTTAGGAAGGACAGGTCTTGACTCGGTTCTTTCTACACTGAACAAGCAAGGGAACACATAAGTCAAGGCAGTGAATTCTGGTCAGTAGTTGTCAGCAAGATGTCAGGTGATTGTTTGTTTTATCACTTTGCTCCATCAGGATGAAATCTCAAAGTTGCACTCTAATGAAACCAGAAATTTTTGATTTTTGGGCTGCTATTTGTTGCAGACATAGTTAAAAATGTCAATTTTAGAAGGCATAGGATTACTAATTATTTCTTTAAAAGCTTGTCGTAGGTTTTAAAACATTTCAAATGAGTGGACATACACACAGTAGTATTGAGCATGATTATTTCTGACACAATTTTATATTGAATTTTGAAGTTCTTTCAGCTTTGCCAAATATACCCTGTATACTTCTGATCCTTGTTTCCCTGTCTATTTATTTAAAGCAAATTGTATCTGTAATTATGATTCAAGGTGATCTGATGTGCACCTGTAGGTGCATCCAGTAGTTTCTGGTTTTTAATTTTAACGAATCTGTCTCATTTATTCAGCTCCAGTTCCTGTAAACAAAGTAGCACTTTTTTTCCTATTTGATACAGTATTGATCTGCTGATAATAATACTGATGTTATATGCAGAGCAAGTCACTGAGAGATAAAAGCACATCAGTGGGACATAATTCTGCATGCAGACTAGCCATGCTCACAAGACTTAGTAGTTTTTCTACATCCTACCAAGCGAATGCCAAGTACCATTTCCTCCATCTTCATCCTCTATTTACCATTCAAACATTTCTCATCTGATAAAACAACTACAGTTGATGGAAGTTTGTAATAGTGGTTATCAGCAGTTTATTCCTGGCTTCTGTAGGTTGTTGGAGGCAGTTGTATTTTGATCTCAGATTACCAGTAGAAGTGTTAATTTTGTAACACAGTGACAAACGATTAGATTATTGTAAATATTTATGAAGTACTGCTTGAGAAGGTTAAGGTAGTGACTGGCTATAGACAGGGGAACATTTGTTTGATTTTCAGCAGGGATGAGAGGCCGTCTTTTTTCACCCGCTATGTCCAGACTAGCTGTTGAGTCCAACCAATCTCCTGTGTAGTGAATACCAGTG